TAGAATAAACAAGGTATTAAATGTTGGATTGCATAAAGCTACCACTATCCAACAACCGGGGGGTTGTGGGGGGTTGGAGACTTGGGAGTTGGGGGTTCTGATCTCCTTGTCATCCTCTTCATTTTTTCCAACAACAAATTTAATGTCTGTTGAAGTTTGAATACAGAAATTGCAAGATACTATATATAGTAATGTTAGTGTATTAATTTATTATTTATTAATACGATGAATTTCAATGTATCGAGAGAAAATATGACTTAATATGGTAAGTTAATAATCTTAAAGAGTATCCTTAAAATACTCATTAGCAAAATCTTTATTAATTAATGATTTTAAATTTTGTTTTGGAATTAAAAAAAATAGAACAAAAAGAGCTTCAATTAATGAATTGTGGCATAAACTTTGTATTCTAATTATGGAAGTACTAATTATCCGTGCTGGTCATTAATTATTAAACATAATTAATTAGACTGTATTTATTGCTATTAACAACTTTATCATGGCCTATATTCAATAGAAGCATGCCAATCATTAATATATAATAAAAAAATTAAAATTATTGTTATAAATTCAGCTATATTAGATCATTAGTTTGCTGAAAATTAAAAAATTGGTAGCCTAAAAATTTTGTTTTTTGAACCTTAATGAAAGAAAAAAAAATTGTATTTGGGTTTTTTACGTTGAGAAGGTCCATAGGCCCTCATATAAAGCAACACCTCCGAACATAAAAAGTTATATTTATGATCCGTTTGGTAATAAAAAAATAATTTATTGAGCAATTTTTTTATGTTAAACTATTTAGATAAATTGTTAAAAACATTTTTTGTTATTCAGATAAAAAATATTACTATCACTCTAATTTGTAAAAGTTTAAACACAAAAATACCTTATAAGAAACCATGAATTGTTAGACCTAAATCATTATTTGAATATTTAGATCTAAATAATTCTCCATGTTCTTTGGGTTTAAATCGGATTTCTTTTATCCACTCATAAAACGTTTTACATTTGAAATAAATTTTCAGTCTTCTAAATATTTTAATTGACATCAAAACAAACGGATCATTAATCTGAAAAATAAAAACTTTTTTCTTTTAGACAAAATAGTCTGTGAAGTTAATTATGAATTATAATAACTTTTTAATGGTTGAAGCTTAATTTGAAGAAGTCACCCTCAAAAAGTCTGAAATGTAAGAAATTTCAGGTGACTAGTGGCGAGAATGGGAATGGTGGCCATACCGTCTTCTTTTGAAATTTGTGTTGAAAAGTGGTAACAACACGACATGTGAGGGTGTTGGCTCTCTCTCTCTCTCTATTTTATATTTCCAAACATATTCATTTAGTGGGTGCAAAAAGAAGGGCGACCTCTTTTTTTTTGCCCCTTTCATTGAACGTACGATAATAATTCACATGCACCCATGTCCTTAATGGAGTATCAAAACCATCTTAGATCTACTTCTTTACCATTTAAAGCCATACATTGGTGCTCATATTTTTGTGATATAACCAATACAAATGCATCCACAAAAGGAAAAGAATTATGGTTTTGTTCCAAAAAAAAAATTAAAAAAGTAAAAATAAATTCGCTTTCACTGCCTCCGAAATTCGATTTCGTGTAACTAAATTTAGTTCACGTTGTCTCCGACATGCTCTCGTGACATTTACTTTTGTTTTCCTCAGGTAGCTCATAAACAAAATTTTCTCTCATTTCCACATATTTTAATAAGAGAAAAAAATGATGACATAATGTTTTAAAAAATTAAATAATTTATTATTCTGTTGTATTAAATCAAAATTTTATATTTTTATTTTTAATCAAATAAATTTTTATAATTAATGATTGATTAATCGTTATTAGTCAAAAAATTTATTTCATTTTATATCATTTGACATTAATATATATAATAAAAAATATCAAATAATCATCCACTGCAACATATCAGTATTATATCACATAAAATAAATAAGTAGTTTTTTTATTAACAATAGTTAATAAATTGATAGCTAAAATAATGTATTTAATTAAAAATAAAAATATAAAAATTTAATTAAACGTAATAAATAAATAAAAATTTAATCGAATTTTTTCGAGTAGTTGATGAGTTTTTTTTTTTTTAAGTATTATATGAGAAATGATTTATTTTTAGATTCTTTCTCCTTGTTATTTTTGTCTCTCTCTCTCTCTTAAGCTGGACCGAAGGGGCCACCACCATGGGTCCTGTCCAGGAATCAAAATCTGCCCCAACAAACCCTTGGTAGTGGATTTGTAGATTGGCCCATTTAAGGTTTAAGAATGTATCCAAATTGGGCTAAGCATTGGCTGGGCCCAAGTAAAGTTTTTCCTACGAAAAGCTCATGGAAAGGGAAAAGAGGAATCATGTGGGGTGTAGCGAATGGTACAGACAAAGATGGTGGGCTACCAACAATGCTCCCAGATTTTTAGTTAAAAATGGATACTAAGATCTTCTATGTGATTTGCATCATGGCACCGTATCTTTATAACGGGGCCCTTTTTATGTTTTGCGGTGGAAGTCATGCTTTTCTATTTATGAATTTGTTTAATTTTTAACGTGGAAGAAGAGAAGCAATAAAGATTTTTCATGCTATGAACGATAAAGAACACGATTTATAACAAGGAAAAACGCATGCTCCAAATGTTTAATTTAATAATAAATATATTTATCATATTAGTCTGTTATTGTAATATTATAGTTATATCAATTAAAAACTAAACCTCGACTTAGATATTATTTTTATGAATTAAAATGATAAAAGTTTTGAAAATGACAATAATATATATATGTTACGAACTCATATTTTTAATTCAAAAAATATATTTAATAAGTAATGAAAAGTTTTTTTTAAAATTGAGAGAATGAGATTCAAACTCTACTTTTTGTATAAGAGATTATGCATCAACTAATAAACAAAATACTCAAGTGTAAATAATAAGTAAGGAAATGTTCATCTTTATATACTTAAAATTTTTTTTTATCTTTTATTGATGTGAGATCCGTAATATTAATATTACTCCACTCAATTATATAATGTCTTTGTTGCATAGGTTCATTATTTATAGAGAAAAAAACTCTTACACTAGTTCGACACTACTTTGACTCTTGTATCTTTTATAAAAGCTTCATATTAGTGAAATTCGAATATACTTTAATGCTATTTGTTATAAATTTATATTTTTCATTTTAAAAATATGTCTGATATATGGTGAAAGACTCATTTTTATATATTTAATATTTATATCATATTTTACTGTTGTAAGATCTGTACATGATAGTATTTAAAAAGTTTAAAATTTATAAATATATTTTTACGTGCATCATTTATGATTTTAACTTTTCTCATATAACATCTTATAACTTTTATATTTATGAATTTGTTCAATTTTTCACGTGGAAGAAGAGAAGCAATAAAGATTTTTCATGCCATGAACGATAAAGAACACGATTTATAACTAGGAAAAACGCATGCTCCAAATGTTTAATTTAATAATAAATGTATTTATCATATTAGTCTATTATTGTAATATTATAGTTATATCAATTAAAAACTAAACCTCGATTTAGATATTATTTCTATGGATTAAAATGATAAAAGTTTTGAAAATGACAATAACATATATATATATGTTGCAAACTCATATTTTTAATTCAAAAAATATATTTAATAAGTAGTGAAAAGTTTTTTTTTAAAAATTGAGAGAAGGGGATTCAAACTGTACTGAGATTATGCATCAACTAATGAACAAAATACTCAATAGTAAATAATAAGTAGGGAAAGATTCATCTTTATATATTTAAATTTTTTATTTTTTATTGATGTGAAATCCGTAATATTTTATTCCACTCAATTATATAATGTCTTTGTTGCATAGGTTCATTATTTATAGAAAAAAAAAACTCTTACACTAGTTCGACACTACTTTGACTCTTGTATCTTTTATGAAAGCTTCACATTAGTGAAATTCGAATATGCTTTAATGCTATTTGTTATAAATTTATATTTTTAATTTAAAAAATATATCTGATATATGGTGGAAGACTCATTTTTATATATTTAATATATATATATATATATATATCATATTTTACTGATGTGAGATCCGTATATGATAGTATTTAAAAAGTTTAAAGTTTATAAATATATTTTTACCTGCATCATTTATAATTTTAACTTTTCTCATATAACATCTTATAATTTTTTTTCTAATTAACAACTTATGAATAATTTTTTAATCAACACCATGTAGATAATTTTTATTTTTATAAAAAATTTTACTGTTAATTTTACTAAATAAAATTATTAAAATATTCTCAATTCAAAAAATGTAAATAAAATTTACCTAAAGTTAAATCTCCAACATAAAAATTTAAATGTAAACGATGTTTAGGATTCAAACTCATTTTCTCTAATAAAAGTTTGAACGCTATTCTGTTTTTTTTTTTTTTGTAAAAAATAAAAAAGTATCAAAGTTTATAGCGATGGTCAGGCCCAAAAAATTGCATAATTTAAACATAAGCTATTTGGCGTTTATCTCTACGCCAATAAAATAGAGATCACGCGTTATTAATATATATAAATAATGAAGATCGGTCCGCACGCAGACCCAGACCTAAACTTAATTAAGGTTTCATTAAGAAAGAAAAACTAATTTGAGCTATTGATTAAAAATAAGAACGAAAGGGCTAATTAGGGTCTAATTTCTCATTTAAAAAAGTTAATACATTTTAATTTAACCGCCAAAAGAACCGTCAAAGATTGGTCAAAGCTCCCCGAATATTCCGTGAGGGTCAGTCTCTGTCTTAAAAATACCATCATCCCGTAAATACCCTTCACCAAGAGCGGATATTTTAGTCCAAACGATAAAAACAAGAGCTGGAATGCTGATCGTTGGATCTCTAATAATGAAGTATCAACGGGTCACGCTTCTTGTTTGACTGAAGTACAAAAAATGGGGCTGGTATGATTGGGTTTCATCCAGCTTTGACCAACGAAAAATCAAATCAGGAAAGACACCTGGTGGCCTTTATGGAAGAGAAAATATTCTAGAGAGAGAAAGTTTTCTTTTTCTTTTTAATTTTGTTTTCTTTGTGTTTTGTTTGGATACAGAGAAATTGAAGAATTTTTTTCCCCAATAACATAATTTTTTTTTTATTTTGAATCTCTATTAGGTTATATATTTGAGCAATTATATTAATTTTTTGGGTTAGGATTGGTATTTGGTTTCCATTGTCTTGTGATTCTGGTTATAGAATTGCAGGAGGAGGAGAAGAAGAGAGAAAGCGGGTTTTCTCTCTTCTCTTCTCTTGTTTGTGGTGGAGGCGAATTTCGTCGTTTGCGTTCGAAGAAATTAGGGCTTGGTTCTGTGAAATCTAAAACCATGAATGTGATGCGTCGTCTCAAGAGCATTGCTTCCGGTCGCTCTTCTATTTCTTCTGAACCCGTAAGTCTTCTCTTTTTTTCCCTTTATTTTTTCGTGGATTTAATCGGCTTTGTTAAGAGAATGGACTAAAAGAAAGAAAGGAAGAAGGAATTTTTGGATTATCTTTAAGGTTTGCTCATTGAAGACAAATCCTTTTTTTTTATTCTATTTTTTTAATTTTCCTGCTTTTTTTTTCTTCCATGAGTAGCTAAATAGGGAAAATATTTTCTTTTTTCTTTTTTGTTTTTGTGAGTTCTGGTATTCATGTCTAGATTTAGCTGGATTATTAATTATTTTAGATGCAATATTGATATATTTTTTCCTACGGTTATTCTCGTAGCGATTAATTATCGGCTTATAGCTGGAGTTTTAAGCAATATTCTTTTTTTTATTATATATAAAAATCTGCATTTTGAGATAGTTTTTGAAGTCTTCCTTTTCGTTGAAACGCATTTTGAGGTAGAGAGGAATGGCATTGTTAGCTAAAGTTTTTTCCTTTTTTGGTTCATTTCTTTTCTTTCGATTCAAAAAGGTTATTTGCCATACTTTTTGGATTCTCTGTTGCTTGGTTTGTTTCAACATTGAATGTGTTCTAATTCATTCACTGATCGTAGTTGGTGGATCTTTTCTTTGATTTTCTAATTGAGGAAATCTTAATTTCAATTACTGTTTCTTGTGAGAACAATTTCTTGTTTGTACTATTGTGAATGTAATTGTCATAGGTTAAGCTGTAGTTTTAGATTATATTTTTACTAGGGGTGGTTGATGGTAAGCTGTGTTTTAGTGGTTGGATTTTATGTAGAGGATTGTTGCTAGGTTGGCAATGGGTCAAATCGCCATTATTGGTTTTTCCTGAGAATGGGTAATGTTTTAGACAAACTTCTTTTCCTTGGTAGGGGCTGATTATAGAGGTAAAATGCTACAGATATGTTACTTACCTAAATTGCTGGGTCCTTGTGATGTTGACCATAGTATGTAATCATGGACTGAAGTCTAGAGAGGAAAGGAACTTGGATAATTACATTTGACCCTCTAAATTGTTTTCTTTCTTTTCTTTTTTCCCACCTTTACACCTACTGGACAGAGTATTGATAAAATAACGAAGACTACAATTTACATGCCGTGTAGTTTGAGCTATGACGCAAAGTATCAAGCTGGTCTGTTCTCATTTTTTTTAAGTTTATCAACCTATCCTCAGCTGAACTCCCGAGCTTAATCAGGGATGCCTTTTAGATAACAGGATGAGCCACATAATTTTATGCAAGTAGCACAAGGGGTTTGAAGGAGGAGGCTGAACTGATTGTTGATTAATTAATGAGCTACCTGCCTGTGCCTGTGTCTGTTTGTGTAATATTTATGCAATCTGGATTGCTTCTTGATTGTTGAAAGTTAGTACCTGTTGTATATACTAAATTCGATTGTTTTGAAAAGAACACAATGTAAGATTTACACTGGGAATAGTAAATATAAATATATGCAATATACAAGGCACTCTATTACTATGAGGATGCTTGTCTTCATTAATCTTTTGTTTTCATTTATTGATTTCTTTTGGAAAATTATAATTGTTTCATCAGGGTGGGGATAGTGGCACTAAGAGGGCAAAGGTTGATCAAGATGCAGAATGTAAGGTACATGGGGAATCACATTTAGTTGAGAGGAGTACCACTGGTCTAGAGCAGCATATGGCTTCTACGTCACTGGAAACTGTAGCAAGCACATCCAATGTAACTTCTGTTGCTAGAACGGAGAAATCAGGTGTTGATCAGCTTCCTAATGAAATGCATGAAATGAGAATTAGAGATGAGAAAACTGCCAACCATGATGAGAAGGTAAATTTTTTTGTCTTATACTCTTCAAGATGTATCTGTATATGCATGTTGATATTTTTCCTCTTAAATGTTGTCTTCATTTCTGTCTTGTTTTAAAATGATAACCAGGTTTGTGACCAGCTTTCTGGATAATGTTATTTGATTTTATGAAATGATTTAATTGCTGTCCACAATTTATCTATCTTCATAATCCTTGATTATTTCTAAATTACCATTTTGTAACTTGTATTGCTCAGGATGTGGAGGCTACTGTTATTAATGGAAATGGAACAGAGACAGGTCAGATAATTTCAACAATTGTTGGTGGTCGAAATGGGCAACCAAAACAGGTGATTTGATTTTTGGTGGACTTTTTGTTGCACATTATTAATTGCTCATCTGGATTGTAAACTATGTTTAGCAGTCTATGAGTGAGCTAAAGGTACTTTGTTCCTTTTCTTATCCTTGAATTTTTTCCCACTCCCTTTTCCTTCGTGATGGAGTGGGAATAAGTCTTTTTCTGTTGCGGCTGTGTGCTGCAGTTGATATTTAAAAAATGAGCCCAGGTCAATAGTTTGCTAAAGCCATCATCATGTTAGAATCTTGGTTTACATGGATGGTATTTATTTCTATTTGGGCTAGCCTGCAACAAACACTTAAAAATGCATTTTTTTCTTGGGCCTCAGACAATCTCATATATGGCGGAACGTGTGGTTGGCACAGGTTCATTTGGTGTTGTTTTTCAGGTACAATTTTATCGGCATGTAGCCATCTTCTTGGCTGTAAGCTTTTTCTCTTAGTGTTTGCATTTATTCAGAATTATCCTTTGTCTCTTCTAGGTTTATGGAATACTTTATGTTATGATGTAGGCTAAGTGCTTGGAGAGAGGTGAATCTGTTGCTATAAAGAAGGTTCTGCAGGATAAAAGATACAAGAATAGGGAACTCCAGATTATGCGTATACTTAACCATCCTAATGTGGTCCAACTGAAGCACTGTTTCTTTTCAACCACTGACAAAGATGAGCTCTATCTTAACCTTGTTTTGGAGTATGTACCAGAAACTGTTTACCGAGTTTCAAAACACTACAGCAGAATGAATCAGCATATGCCCATTATTTATGTGCAGCTGTATACATACCAGGTGAACCTTGTCTCTACCTTACAAAATTGTACTGTTAGAATTTTAATTTAACCATTTTGAGTTCATATTCTCAGTGCTTGTCGTGACAAGCTATATTGCTTTCTTTTTGTAGATTTGTCGTGCTCTAAATTATTTACATCATGTGGTTGGTGTATGTCATCGTGATATTAAGCCGCAAAATTTACTGGTAAGACATTTTTGCACTTGTATTATCAGCTGGAGGTTGATGTTAAGAAATATTTTAGTTCTTGTGTGTATAGGATGTTACTTTTTCGTCGACAAATTTGTTAACAACTTGAATGCACTATAATGTGTGACACTTTTATGTTTACTGGTGGTCAGTCATACTGCGTGTCAGTTGGATTTCTTTGTGTATGCTCATGAGATAATATGGTTCTTGTCTGTGGAATTTGGTTGGCTTTAACATGTTATTGCTTTTGTTATTCTTCTGATAATTGTTTGTATTGTTAAAAGCTATAGCATATAGGAGCTAATGTTGTGATGTATTCGCAGGTCAATCCCCACTCTCACCAGCTGAAGATATGTGATTTTGGCAGTGCAAAGATGTTGGTATGTTCAATTTTTGGGAAGTTTGAAAGTCTTTTTCGTTGTTTGTAAAACTTATGGGATTTACTCTGCAATCGTTAGGTGCCAGGTGAGCCCAACATATCATATATATGTTCACGATATTATAGGGCTCCGGAGCTTATATTTGGGGCAACAGAGTATACAACTGCTATTGATATGTGGTCCGTTGGTTGTGTCATGGCTGAGCTTCTACTTGGACAGGTGAGTGTGAAAATAGTACTTCCTTTTAGATACACTTTGTCTGAGTTTTGATGTCAATTTATGTTTTATTTACCTCTCTAATGCTTGCATGGCTTTATAATGCTTTAATAGCGTTCATGGTTTTCATCTATGTTCTCATGATTGTGTGTTGTGGGTTTTGCATTTAACATTGTTATGTTTTGCTTTGACATCTGGTTGTGCACGTCAGTGATGCAGTCATCCTTTTGAGCTCTTGTTCCTTGTTTGTAAGCTATAGAGGCTTTTGACATCCTGAAATTCTACTTTGCAGCACATTTTAGGAAATTATTCTTTCATCTACCTACCATCTGCCTGCTTTTGAGTTCTTATCCCAAGCATCCATTTGTAGTATGTAAAAGTTATATATTTTGATAAAACTCTGTATAGAACAATAATAATATATACATTGTAATATGCACTAATGCATTCTGGTTATTACCCCATTTGCAGCCACTGTTTCCTGGTGAAAGTGGTGTCGATCAGTTAGTGGAAATTATTAAGGTTTGCATCTATGGCCTTTCGTTTGTGTAGTTTCACTTCTACTCCCCTTTTTCTGCATTTCTGATCGTTTTACTTCCTTTTGCTTTATCAGATACTGGGAACACCAACCAGAGAGGAAATTAAATGCATGAATCCAAATTACACTGAATTCAAATTCCCTCAGATCAAAGCTCATCCATGGCATAAGGTGTGCTGATTGGATCTATCTTCCTGTTATTTTATTTATACAGTACATAAAAGTGGAAATCTTACTCTTCAGTTATAATTTTCAGATATTTCACAAGCGAATGCCTCCTGAAGCGGTGGATCTTGTGTCAAGGCTGCTTCAGTATTCACCAAACCTACGTTGCACTGCCGTAAGGATTTCATATGATATTGTTGTTGTTTTCTTTTGTGTGTGCAATTTTCCCTTGGCTACTCGAATCTTGATAGGAAGTTTAGTTGTGTAACTTGTCACCAAACCTTCATGACCAAGTTGTAGCAATTTAAGTAGTAGAGACATTTCACATGTGCACAAGAAGTTGTCAGAATGGATTGTGTGTTAGTTTCATGTCTTTCACAAAGTTTTACCTGTGTTCTTTGTCTTGCAATTTAATGAATGTTTCACTTCCTGGATTTCAGTTGGAGGCATGTGCACACCCCTTCTTTGATGATTTGAGAGACCCAAATGCATGCTTGCCTAATGGCCGAGCCCTACCTCCACTATTCAATTTTACAGCACAAGGTAACCTAGTTTAATCTTTTAGCCTTTTATTTTTCTCTTAAAAGTTGCTAGTGTTCTCATGTCAGCGGTTATGCAGAACTGGGTGTTGCATCTGCTGAACTACGCCAACGTCTTATCCCAGAACATGCAAGGACATAAAATCAAATGAGATGGCATCTGTAGGCATTGTAAATTGGTTTTGTATGCTGCTTAGTTGCCCAGACAAGCTACGCTGCTCCACCTCCTGCTTGTTCAGAGCTGACCATCTTTGTTCCTTAGCCTGGCAAGACCAAAAAGGGTAGTCGGGAGGCTATCCATCCAAGGACTTGAATGATGGTGCTTTGAGGTGGATGGAAAGGACTGCCATGCCACGAGGTTTTGGCATTTCCTTTTTCTTTTTCCATTTTGTTCATTTACAATGTGATGTGTTACGTGCCTCGACTAATGATAAAGATGACTCGTTAAAACAGTGCTGTTGCTGTCATATATAGTTTATTAGCATTCATTGTTCAAAGAGCCTAAAATGTTCAACCGGAGGAATCAGGACGTCTTCCACTGTATAATTTTCCTACTACTACTTCTACAGAGATTCATATTTCCAAGAAATCCATGTTTTGTATCCCTTTCATCTGAACTGCAGCTACCTTCAACTTGTGAGCCACCCCAGTCTAAGGTATTACCTGGATGAGAAATGGTCAGAAAATAAATTTAAATTGTGAACTTAATATGCTTCTTAATTTTTAAAAAAAAAAAATTGTAAAAGAAAAAAATAATTGAAATAAATATCTGAAAAGGGCAGCCAACTGAATTGATGAACTCAGTTCGATTTGATCGATTTTTCTGCTTGAATCTGGTTGATTTTGCTCAACCCTAAACGTATATGTATTGGATCTTTGTTGCCATTAATCCTTGAAATGCATGTGTGAAGTACAAGTCAGCATAACTGCTGATCGCAGTTATTGTTAGTTATATCACAGAAGAAAAGTGTTTGAAGAAACAATATGCTATATGATTCCGACAGAAGACTTTCTACCAATAGTCTCCGCAAGAACATTGTCCTTCCTTGTAGTGATGAAAACAGTTAGAATCCCTCAAGATAATGTGACGATGGAAAACTCTGGATATATATTTCATAGCAGTGTGACAATCCCCGCAAAACCCGGAGATTCTTGAAAATTCGAATTGGGGCTCCGGGTGGCACTGTCAGAAGTCCAAAAGCGATGGCCAGCTTTTCACTGTGATAGGCCAGACCAAGCTCCTTGCCCCCTTCATCGGTGTTATGGAGAGCAAAACTGATGTCTGGCACGTAACCAGCTTCCTTGATCAGGAGCATCATCTCTTGATCTTGGAATAGATCTCACCAGTTCTGGGATGGCCTCTGTCCTCAGACATAAATCTGTGAACTCTGCTGTTTACCTCAATCCAACTACAACCAGGCTCTTTATTGATCCCCCTGAATTTCATCGTTCTTCGATTCCTTGCAGCCTCTTCCCATTTTCCGGAAGCAGAATACATGTTGGACAACATGATGTATGGCACCGCATTCCAGGGCTCTAATTCAAAGAGGTTCTTTGCTGCTCTTTCCCCCAGTTCCAAGTTGCCATGTACTCTACATGCAGCAAGAAGCGCCTTCCATACAGTTGCATCTGGTTCAACATCCATCTGGTTTAATAATGTCTCAGCTTCAACAAGTTTTCCGGAGCGACCCAAGAGGTCAATCATACAAGCATAGTGTTCAGGACCTGGTTTAATTCCATAAACCTTCTCCATAGATGCAAAATAGGAGCGGCCACTTTCCAAAAGACCAGCATGGCTGCAAGCAAATAGTAGGCCTATAAAGGTAATGAAGTCTGGTTTTGTGCCACTAGCAATCATCTGATCATAGAACCTTACCGAGTCCTTTCCTTTACCATTCTGGGCATAACCAACTATAAGAGCGGTCCAAGTTATCACATCCTGAATTTGCATAGAATCGAATACTCTGCTTGCATCTTCAATACACCCACACTTAGCATACATTGTTACCAGGGAATTATCCACTGATAGTGATGATTGGAGGCCAGATTTAACAAAGTTTGCATGAACTTGTTGCCCAAATTCCAGAACTGTTAGTTCTGCACAAGCACTCAAAATACTTGCAAGAATAATATGGTCGGGGTAAATGCCTGCCGTTCTCATGTCACAAAACAACATGAGAGCTTCTTCATGAAGACCATTATGAGCATATCCGGTTGCCAGGGAGGTCCATGAGATCACATCCTTGTTGGGCATGTGGTTGAACACCTGAAAAGCACAATCCAGGTTTCCTTGTTTAGCATACATGTCGACCAAAGCATTGTTCACAAGCTTGCAAGCCTCAAATCCTGTTCTAACAATCAAACAGTGAACAGACATTGCATGTTTCGAGTCCGTCATGGAAGCAAAGCAGTTTAAAACAGACGGGTACGTGAAACTATCCATCTTCATATCTCTAGCATGCATCTTCTGAAACAATGAGAGAGCTTCCTCTTCAAAACCCTGCCTCACACACCCTACTATCATGGAGTTCCAAGAAACCACATCATCAACCTCCATGTTCTCTAACACTCTCATGGCATTATCCAAATCCCTGCATTTTGCATACATATCAACCAATGCACTTTGAACATAAACATTAGTTTCAAAACCACTCCTAATGATGCAACCGTGCACTTGTGCGCCAACAGGACCAGCTTTAACCGCAGCACAAGCTGTTAAGACACTGGGGAAAGTGAACTGATTGGACTCAACTCCTTCAACAAGCATATCTCGAAAACACTCAATCGCTTTCGATGCTTCACCATTTTGAGAATAACCTGCAACTATGGCGGTCCACATCACATGATTTCTCTTATCAGGCATCATTTTAAACAAACATTCAGCATCCAAAATGCAATTGCACTTTGCGTACATATCAACAAGACCAGTAACAACATAGTCATTCGACTCGAATTGTGTCTTTATTACATAACCATGCACCTGTTTTCCTCTTTGAAGCAAACCCAACGTGGAACACAACCTTAAAATACTTCCCATCGTGTACTGGTTAGGCCTTTGTCCCTCAAATTGCATTCCCCAAAACAGATCAAAAGCTTCAATTTCCATCCCACCTCTACAATACCCAGAAATTAGTGTATTCCAAGTGATGGAACTCTTCATTGGGGTTTCTTTAAAAAGCTCTATAGCTTCCGTTAATTTCCCAGAATTTGCATAAGCAGCTATCATTGTATTCCAAGTGAACTCATCACGTTCAGGCATTTCGTCAAATAGCTCGCGAGCTTCATTAATCCGACCCGATTTGGATAATTCGTTTAAGACCCGATTGGAATCAAGCTTTAATTGACTGGAATTCGTAAAATGAAAAAGAATTGACCCTAAATGAATGTATAGTCGACGTGCCTTGAAAGAAAAGTTTAGATTTTTCAAACATAATTTTATCATTGAAGCCGCTTCCTATTGTTGTTTTTTTCAAATCTGAAATCAAAAAAATTTTCAATAAATCTGCTAAAATCTTGAAACTTGAACAGAAATGTAAGTAGTAGTAGCAGTAGTTAGTACAAAACAGACAAAAAGAAGATTAAAGAAAGGGGTAAATTTGGTACGGAATTAACAGTAGAAAAGTAAATGATTTGGAAAAAGAAGACGAGGTGGGTTCATTTGAGTTACACGGAGCACATAATTTTCAGGCTACATGGCGGGAACTTCCATGGAAACAGAAGGAGCTGAGCTCTGTATCAGGGAACGCGTTGGTCTTGTTTGCATGGGTAGTTGTATTCTGCTTTCAAAACCGTTTTGGCACTTTTCTCCTTGGAATTGTTAACAATACAAAAAACGCAATTCACACTTCCACACCAAATTCCAAAATCTCGTCTCCGAGTTCGAGTGAAAGATTTTTTTCTATTTCTTTTCTTTTCTTAAAGTTAATATGGTGAAAACAGGGCTTTCCCATTGAAGTGCAATGATACCATGACATGACACGCGTCCTTTTTTAACACAACCAAGTAAGAAATCTAGGTTGATCCATTGATGGGTATTTATCAAATTTAATTTTTATTCAAAATGAAATCTATATGCTTTCTCTCTCATCATCATCGTCCGTCGTCTTTGAAACCGATACCACTGGCCCCCATCCTAATAATGGCAGTCCTTTGTACCAAAGTTATTACCTTTTTGTAATTAGGAGTACCATCGCCTTTTTGCATTTTTATTATCCAAATTTAAAGTTTCAAATTTTATGTGCATAAATCCAAAAAAACCCACCAAAATTCGAATTCCTACCAAATTAAATTAGTCATTTTTATTTTTTTTTTACAATTTTGTAGTCCCTTTATAATCATTCCAAAATAATTGATCCTCAATCCAACCCTTCTTACAAGTTTTCTTTCTTACAACCTTAAACTCAACAAAGATTTTCTCTTTTTCTTTTTTTTTTGTGGAAAAAGATGCACCCAGCAAATGCGCCAGCTCCGACATCACTTACATCAGATGAGGTGGACACGTCACCCCTCCTGACCCATTCCATGGCCGATCACCTCCTCCGTAGCCGCCGTCTCCTCCGTCGCCAACCCCCACCTTTAAGCGGTGCGGCTGCTAGGCTCCTTCGCCGCGCCAGTAGTCGTCGCTTGATGCTCCGTGAGCCGTCGGTTCGTGTACGAGAAACCGCGGCCGAGCAACTGGAAGAGCGTCAAAGCGATTGGGCCTATTCGAAGCCCATTATAGTGCTTGACATTCTCTGGAATATGGCGTTTGTGGTCATCGCGGTTGTCGTCCTGGGACTCAGCCTTGAAGAAAAGCCCACCGTCCCTTTAAGGTTCTGGATTTCGGGTTACGGGTTACAGTGTTTATTTCACGTTGCTTGCGTAGTCGTAGAATACAAAAGAAGAAATGGAAGGAGGGATTCGGATTCGGAGAACATCGAGGATCAGAATTCTGACCCGAATTCTCAGTCCGGGAGTGAAACGGGGGATTCTGAGGATTATGAAACAGAGCAGCTGAATAGTGGCAATGAAAACAGGTAGATAATTTTATTTAAGATTAATTAGAAATACAATCAAGATTACTTAAGCCAAATCTTCATGATTTTTGCAGTGTTGCCAAAAACTTGGAGTCTGCAAATACAATGTTTTCATTTCTTTGGTGGATCATTGGATTTTATTGGATAATGGCTGATGGACAAGCTTTGGCACGTCATTCACCTCAACTTTACTGGTATCATATCATTTCAATACACATTTTTTGTCTGTTTCCTTATATATTTAATTACAAACCATTGCTAACTCACTAGATGGGTTCTTAATCCCCAGGCTTTGTGTCACATTTCTTGCATTCGATGTAGTCTTTGTGATGATCTGTGCTGCTGTTGCCTGTCTTATTGGTATTGCTGTTTGCTGCTGTCTTCCTTGCATCATAGCAATTCTGTATGCTCTCACAGACAGGGTACGTGAAGTTTTTTTCACTTTCTGTGCAGATTACTATATTAGAACACTGCATTCAGTGAATCTACCGTTTGGTGCCTTTCAGTGGACTATATTTTAATCATGATTGAGACAAAGATAGCTTTTTTTACTATATGTTTTGTTGAAGTGGTACACAAAATCAAATAATAAAATGTTGCTACATGATTAATTAATTCTATAATGAGCTGGGTGATTCGACATTCACTAAGGAAACCTGTATTTTTGGACTGTATTGGGTATGATCTATGTGGACCCCTTGGAGGTTTGAAGAGCTAAGGTACCATAGTGAGATACACCTGTGATCTTTCTTTCTTCTTCCCTTTTTCTTCCTTTTTTCATTTTAACGGAGGCGACGGGTCGGGGTGGGCGGGCATTAATGTTTTATTCATATAGACTTCTGCACCTGACAGACTTGGGATATATTTTCGCCCTCAAATTACGAATCTGGTTAATCTGGTTTCTTACTTATACTGTTGAAAAGAATGTACTTGGAATAAACAATTTAATTTCAGAAACAACATTCCTTAAGATGGTCATTGCTTCTTTAATTTTCCTGTTCTTGGGTGATGGAAAGGCTCTGGATGTTCTGTTGTTCCCAGTCCTACAAGGAAAACTTTATCTGTGAGTAATGTTAAAATTAATCCCCATGAAAATACATTATACTGAAAATGAAGAGCATGTGACTGATTCTTGCTGAATAGAAACATGACTTGAATATGTTACCTAGGCTGCTGCATCATTTCACTAGAATATGTAACTTTCTCCATCTAGCCTCCATTCTTGAATAATCCTGCCTTATTTTACATAACCTTGAATCTGTAAAACAGGAAGGAGCAACAGAGGAAGAAATTGATAGATTGCCAAAGTACAAATTTCACAGGGTTGGTGATTTCGAAAAAGTAAATGGTGAAATTCAAGAATCTCGTGAGGGGATAATGACCGAATGTAACACTGATACACCTGCTGAACAAATTCTTTCACACGAGGATGCTGTAAGTACCCTATATTGTTGTGCATTTGTATTTGCCTTCATAAAATCATTGAACATTTTAGGAAGCTACAATTGGAAACATATCATTATTTCTGATGGAACCAATTTGTGTTTGTAGCAGAGGTTAGAATTTGCTATTACACATTGAATCAATTGCTGGTAGCTCACAAACACCATAATTAAATCCACATACGCACTTCTCAATGCGATGTTGATATCGAGTTTGAGCACTAGCTATGTTATTTTCCATTCTAAATCCAATCTTCTCTGGACTTTCTTTGGATGACCTACTTTCCTTCTTTCATTATAAAATCTATAAAATGGAGTGGTAAAATCAGGCAGTTTAAAGTTGTTATTCATGTGTATAACCGAGAGTGGTGGCCATCCATTCTTGGGTCTTCATGTTTGCTCCCCTGGCCTCTTGAAGAATGAACACACCATTTTAACCCAAATTTATGTTCCGATCACAGGAATGCTGCATCTGCCTTTGTGCTTATGAAGATGGGAGTGAATTGCGCGAACTCCCTTGCCGTCACCATTTCCACTGCACCTGTATAGACAAGTGGTTGTACATCAATGCTACCTGTCCACTCTGCAAGTTCAACATGCTGAAGACTGGTAACTTGAGTGGAAGTGAAGAAGTGTAGAAAAGCCTAATCAGAGTAATTAACAGTGCTTCTTCCCTGCTTGTATGTAATCCTATGACCGGACATCTTGTTGGCAGCCTAGAGGCAGCAATTAGGGATGGGTTTCGCCACATAAGCAGGCGTGGCTTTTCTGGTATTTCCCAAATTGTATTAATGTACAGTATGTGTTTTCCCAACTTGTTTTAGGCACGTCTAGTTTGTGGAATAGAAGAGTTATTTTTCTTCAATTTAGTTCTAATGAAGCCATTCTCTATTACAAATCAATGGTGCTATATCCTATAGTAAACTTAGTTGATAGGAAATGGGTCATCATAATGGGGTTTTTCTGTGATATTTCTGTGGGCAATCACTCAATCATGTTGCTTTCAAGTTTCAAATAAACAGACAAGATGAATTTTGATAAGAATTTCCTAGTATCCAAATTCTCACGAGGGCTGTTAGTATGTGAAGGAAGACCTTCACATTATATTTGGAGCTTTGACTCAAAGATTGAGAATATGATTATATATATATATATATATATATACATATATATATATATAATATTGAATGTTGAAAAAATTTTAATTTTAGAAAATAGTCATAACTGTTTATTACATTTTTTAATTACAAAATATTAATAAAATTATCCAATTTGTAAATAATCATGTTGAATGATTTTTATCAAGAAAAAATATTTTTTGTTTCACTAATATTATATAATTTACAATTAATATTTAAAAATTAAAAAACATTGGGTAGAGCTAGATACGCGTGGTCTCATCGCAAGATCAGAGAAGTGTGATGGACCCTCCCATCACATGTGCGCAGTTCTCCTCACAGCTCCAAGGGGATGCGCCAGCCGGGAATCGAACCCGGGTCTGTACCGTGGCAGGGTACTATTCTACCACTAGACCACTGGTGCTTAATGTCAGTAACACCAAGTCATAATAATGTTAAATGTGTTGGAACAAAAAGAAATTATATTTCACATAATTGAATAATTGTTACTAGAGAAAATGTTATTTGTTATTTTATACTTACATCATATAATAATATTATTATATTATATTAGTATGTCATGTCATTATCAATTATAATATATCAACATATAATGTCAACTTCAGGTGATATAAAATAATAAGAGATAATTTAATTAATAATAATTAATTATTAATTATATGAGCTTATTTGATTTAAAATAAAAATATACTAACTTAATTGAACCTAATAAAAGAATAAAAGTTTATTTAAAATTTTTGAGTAATTTAAGGACTTTTTTAAGTATTATATCAAAAATATATATGATCCAAAATTGGACCGATAACATATATTAGAAAAACATTAATACATGAAATCGTAAGTAATATAAAATTAACATTTCTTATAAATAATATATTTAAAAGAAAATACAAGAACACATTACCCAATTTAATGGTAACAACTATAATAAAGTAAAAGTACATTGTTGCCGACCTCATCACACCGAAAGTTGGTGGGGCATATATGAACCGTCAGCCATTGAAATGCTTTTATTTAACAAACAAAATGTCTTTTACATGATCAAAGTGTATATATGTTGTCGATTGCCGACCTAGCATGAATATCGTTCTCAATATTGACTGAGACAAAGACATAACATATATATATATATATATATATAATATAATGTGTTATTGTAATCTCTACGGCGTATCAAAGATCCGAGGAAGGTTCCCATATTGCTTCTCATCTCTTGTTTCTAAGAAACTGGGACTTTTAGAACTTAGAAATTACTGCCATGTAACGGTTCTTGAGGGGAAGTATACCAGAAGGAAGACAGAAGGAGATACGCTGTTTCTGTTCTTCCTGTTTTCGTCCCCAGCCAATCTATATAGGACTAGTAAATTAGATAAGACGGCTTTGTTTTCTACGGAAAGATCGGTGACCGCCTGACAGGCGTGACAAGGAAAGTTTGACTTTTTTTTTTTTTTTAAAGTAGAATTTGGTGTGGGATTTTTGAATATTTACATTAAACAGGTTGGAAAGAGGAGAAAACATAAGGCACCATTTTAAGATTCAAAACGTGAAAAATTCGTTCCTCTCCACTCCACATGTTTTTGACTCCGAACAAAGATCCGGATATCATGAAACACATGCCATACCAAATCTTTGTTGCTACTTCCTTGGAGTGCTGTGAGATGTGATCATTAAGACCACGGAATTAAACCCCCAAAATCAAGAACAAATAATACATTGCCATGAGTCTTGACTTATCATCACTTGGTCGGTGGATATTCAATTACAATATGAGTAAATGAGGAGTAGCTTAATTCGTTCACGTCAGTTAACCATATGCAAATCTTTGTTGCTATTCTATGTTATAAGATTATAAATTCAAAATAAAAAAATAAATTAATAATATAATATAATATTACGATAAATCTTGACTTATTATTTGATAACGTGTCAAGCATAATTCGAATAACTCGAGTAACTTGACTAGTTTACGTCTCTTATATAATTGCAAATGGTCACTTAGAGTGATAATAATCTTTGTTTATTGGTATATTCCATTCTGATTTCTAATTGTAATAATAAAATACCTAACCAAATATATATATTCACAATAATTCCATGTAGAAAACATTTCATTTCCTCATTGCTAGTTGTCTCGTGCATACAATGTGCATTGTTTTCATGTGCTTAGTTCTATCAAAGAAGAAAGAAATCACCAATTAATTAACTGATTAATTATCCAATGAACAGAAAAAATCAATAGACGACAAAGGATTGGTTGCTAAGACTGCGTCATTGGGGCAAGGCGACAACATAGACGGTTTCTTTTGAATATATTAGTTTGATTCTACTAAATTATTAGCAACACAAAACCAAAGTGGAAATATGTTGGAAACAGAGAAATAAGAGCAAAATCTCATCAATTCCAGAACAAGTTTTCCTTCGTTTTTTCGGGGGAAAATTTGTTGGTGTGAGGCTATTTACAGCTTTGATGCATCAATTTCATCTAAATAAAGAATTAGATGGATAACCGCTCCAAATTGGGATCCCTGTAACAACTCCAAAATCATTTCGTCCGTCTATGGGAATTCCCAGACCTGCAGCTGCTGCAGCAGCCTGCGAAGAACAAGCGTGTAGGGGCTCTTTTACCCTGACAGAGACATTGATGATTCCATTCTTCAACCCCTTGGGATCCCTTAACCTGTAACTCAAGAACTGTAAACAAGTCTCCGGAGAGTACCCTCCGATAAAGTCCGTCACTGGTATTCTTGCAAATCCTACGGTTTTTTCCCCGCTGGAGGCCTTGCATTTTACGGCCAGGGTAATGAAGCGTGTCTGCATGGGCATGTCCATCACTAGTTTATCGTTCCATGAAGGGTTGCTCCCTCCTTCACCGTCCATCTTCGTCGTCTTACAGTTAAAAGGTTCGATCGAAACGACTACGAAAGCGTTCTTTTTAACCGATTTGTTATCGATTCTCAGGTCTTCTCCTGACAAGATTGTGATCTCCAGAGTGCGAGACTTGCTCTCCATTATAAAATTAAGAGAAACAAAAAAAGAAAAATAAACAAAGCAAGAACAGAAAGAGGTTTCCTAGTGTGCTTGGGTTTGAGGGAGGCGACGGCTGGTGAGAACCAAGACGTGTAGGGAGACTTATATAGATGCTCTTCATAGGAAGCTAAAGAGAAGGGCTGCGGAAGGTGAGAGGCAATGCTTCAGCTTAGACTTCAAAATTAGGACCGAATGAGAGTACAAAATAAAGAAGCGCGTGTGGGTGAATATTCAATTTTGGCGTGAGGTGCGTAGTTCCCTTTTTTCTTTTTCTTTTTTTTCTCCTAAACTTTCTAGATAAAGTCGCACTAGTGCAAAAATCAAAATTTAATAGGACCTAAAGAGAAAATATCTTATCCGCCACGCAAACCCTCATTCCTTAACTTGTTTACTTCTTTCTTTCTTTTTTCTTATAGTAAATTTCATGACCATTCTTTTTATTTTATTTTTTTATGAATAAATAATTTTTATGTCTATTAAAATTATCAAAATATGTTTAATTTGAAATTAGTTTATTTAGTCACAATTAAAGAGTAATTTTTAATTTTATTGAATAAAATTAACAACGGAAAATGTGGATTAAGTTTTAATTTTTTTTTCTATTACTTTTAAGAAGAAAAGTCTTGAACAAAGTGGATAACATTCCATTCTACCCATAGTGTTCAACATTCAATGTATATTGATTGATGTTTTCAACGTAGAATACTATACAATGAATTACCACCCACTTCCAATTCACATCTTGCAGGTTTTCTTAGATTTCCATTCCCTTATATTCTTTTAAAAGGTAAAGGAGAAGGAAAAGGATGCTGAAATGTTGTTTGTCTAAATATTTATATATTAATTATTCACACTATTTCATATTTAATAATTTATCCATCGATTGTCTTTAAAAAAAAAAATTAATGGTCGATTTCAACCTTTTTGTTAGTGTGGAAGATTATCTCATGGCTGTATTTGTTTAATATATGTGTGTATGGAAGTATAGAGCATTGAGATAAATGTGGTAGGACAATTAAGTAGTGGTATTAGAATCAAACTCTAATTAAAAATTTGGTCCAGCATTCACTATGTGTGAAAGACAGGCTTGGTAAACAAAGGCTAGCAACAGTCACACTTCTTTAATGAACTTGGGCAGAATTATGCAAAGCAAAGTCATAAGAACTCTTGTTATTAAATAATCATATTCAAAAACTCAATGTTAAGTTACGACTTCTTAATAATACTTTTAAGTTGATTGTGAGTTATTCAAATGTAGTTTAATAAGTATTTGAATTCGATTAATTCATTTTCGAGTCAAATTTGAATTCAAGTTATTTAAGTAATGAGTTAATTAGAATTTCGCATTTTGTAATACTCGTATTGAATGATTCACAAGTTTTATTAAATTTTTTAACATTTTAATATTATATGCATATATAAATCAAATATTATTATTACATATATTGAAGTTTTATTTAAATTTTTATTTCGTACTTCAAATCGAACTTGAATGGATTTTCAGACTCTTTATAAAAATTAATGATAATTGATCTTCAATCAAATTGAATTAAATTAACTCCATTATTTTTTAAATCAAATTTGAAATTTTGAAAATTTTTAATTTTTTTTAATCAGTCAGAGATCGAGTTTGACACTGAATTTACTTGGCTACGCTCAATTACACCGTTACTTTCTATGAAGTTATTCCTCCAGTTTTCAATTCAAATTGAATGTCATATTTTAAATTTTCTTAAGTTTTGACGAATTTATTTGGAAATTCATCAGTGATTTTCCTGTTCTCGTTCAAACATGGGAGCGGATGATCAGTTACGAGGCAAGTGCCACAGCCGTGCTCGTGAGTGTCCGGCGGATCGTGAACGCAACACGGCGGTGCTAAAACGTGGGGTTGCCTTTGTCCCTTTGACTTTGAAGTCTTCAACCTTTTTCCCAGTGCACCTCTCACACGCTCTCAAACTACCGTGGTGGGCACTTTTCCTATCTTTTTTATAAATACTGCTACTAGTAACAATTACTTTATATCACGTGTGCTAAAATTCGGAAATTAATTTAAAACCACTTGAGATTAATTTTGTGTGCAGTCAAGTCCATATTATTTGTTAAATCATTTTTTTATTCATTTCTATCTTCAAATTGCAGTGAAGGCACGTAATTCAAACGTAAAAGAAAAGAAAAAAAAAAGGATGATTATCTGGATCGGTAAAGCACGAAAACTTGAAGAAGATATTGAAAAGGCAATTTTAAATTAAATCAAAAGAAAAAAAACAAGTGAGTTGATAATATATTTCTATTCACATTAATTTTGTGAGGTATTGTATATTTTATAGATGGTATAAATTTGTAAATATCTAATGTCAATCTAATAAATAATCGATAATTCATATTCTTTTTTAAAAATTTTTCAAAAGATGAAATTTTTATATCTATCTACGTGAGATTTATGGTATTATCCGTTGAAAATATATTTTTTTAACATAAAATTTGCATGACCATGGTGACACTATGACAAATGGCAGCGAACAACTGAACAGTGAAGACTAAACGCTGACCATGTCAACTTCACCTTTGGATTTGGATAAATTTCGTGGTTCGTTTCGTTGTCTTACATCACTACGGCGTCGTCAGCACTCAACCATCATCACAGTCACTCGTGCCTTTGGAAATAAAGGTTGTAACTAAGAACATGCGATGAGCTGGACCTGCACCTCCTAATTCTTTGGCTCGGAAGTTTCACGGCACGATTACCTTAGCAGCGAAAACATAAAACAGATGGAAATGTTAGTTAAGCCGAAGGACGAGTCAATTGTTAATTTTTACTCAGCGGTCTTGCGTGGAAGTTGGGCGGAAAACTTACGGCAGCCGCAACAACCTTGCAAACAGGGGGTGGACTATCTTAAAGTCTTAACTAATAAAGTTAACTAATTTGATGGCTATAAAGATAACATAAATTATAAAATTAATCAAATTAAATATTGTTTGGTGTCATAGATTTTTAGAAGACTAATAATAGAAATTGTAATACCTAACATTATTAAAAGTTGGCTTAGCTTTTTGTGCTGCCTTTTTCAAAATTTAGACATTATATTTAGAAAATATCTTAAATTATTTTTAAAAAATTTAAATTATTATTAATCGAAACAACATTAGTTATTTTACATCATATGATATTGATGTGATATACTGATATATTGTAGTGAGTGATGATATAAAATATTAATATGATTATGTGATAATTTTACCTTTTTTGTCAATATTATATAAGTGGCACATGAGAATAAAAACGATAAATATTTTTTTTATTAATAATAATCGATATCTTTAGTTATAAAAATTTATTTAGTTTAAATTAAAAGTATTTGAGTTTGATTAAATATAATAAAAGAATAAAAATTTATTTAAAAATTTTAAAATAATTTAAAAATTATTTAAAAGTATTATGTCTATTTCTAATGCAAATTGTGAAAAAGCATTGGCTAGATTGTAGAGATTTCAGTGTACAATTTTCCCTTTTTTTTCCCATTTATCCATGTTGAACAATTGTGCTTTATGCATAAAAAAAATGGAAAAAAGATCATGTGGTTAGGTTAGGTCACTTGAAACGACATCGTTTGGAAAAAATTATATTTAAAAGTTATTTTATTAACCATTTTTGGAACAAATTATTGATCAATTTGTATTACAGTGGCAAGTAGCAACGACATCGTTTCGAGGGATGTTATCCAGTCCCACTCATTTCATCTCTCGCGATTCAGTTACAGAGAGCGAGAGAGATGGCTTCCTCTACTCAGCTCTCGCTCATTTCCAAACCCTCACCGCTCTTTTCCAACTTTCCTCGAACCCGGTTCAATCCATCCACAACAGCCAGACCAACCGCTTCTCGTTTCAAATGCCTGGCGAGTCAGACCGGGTTCTTCACTCGACTAGGTCGGTTAATCAAGGAAAAGGCCAAGAGTGACGTTGAAAAGATCTTCTCTGGGTTCTCCAAGACCAGAGACAACCTCGCCGTCATCGACGAACTCTTGTTATACTGGAACCTCGCCGACACCGATCGCGTCCTCGACGAACTCGAAGAGGTTTCTCTTCTCTGCTAAATATACCTTGTTTTCATGCTACTGAAAAAGTGCTTAAAATTAGTTAAAAAAATGAATAAGCTATTCCTTTTTTATTTGATTTTGCAGGCTTTATTGGTATCTGATTTTGGGCCTAGAATTTCTATTAAAATAGTGGAGAGCTTGCGGGAGGATATACTAAGTGGCAAACTTAAATCAGGCAGTGAAATAAAGGTTAATACAGAAAACTACAATGCTTATAAATAGGATGATGTTTTTCATTTATATTTAGTTGTGGTGAAGATATTTGTTTTATGAGGTTATAAATATTGAAAAATGTGGATTACTTTGTGGATTATAGGATGCATTGAAGAAGTGTGTGTTGGATCTCTTAACAAAGAAAGGGAGCAAGACCGAGCTTTGTCTTGGATTCAGGTTTGTTCGTGTTTTAGTCTTTGAGTTTTTCCTGTAGTTCCATTCTGCACTAAAATGGCGTTGTTTTTTCCTCTGGTTGAATACTCTGGTCATGTTATCAGGAAGCCAGCTGTGATCATGATCGTTGGCGTTAATGGAGGTGGCAAGACAACATCACTCGGTAAGGCTACTAACCAATGTCGCAATTGCTAATCAGTTAAGGTTGTTTGGATTCGCGAGTGAAATTCTTTAGTTTATCAAACTAGTTGTGGAAGATTTATTTATTGAGGAATTTTTGTCTTAGCAAATTGATGTTTCACATTTTGTTATAAAATAATCTCATTAATAATTCCCTTGCAGGAAAGCTGGCTTATAGATTAAAGAATGAAGGGGCAAAGGTGAGCTGTTAAAAAACGTGCGTTGCTTTCGGTGCAGTGTGATGGAGGCCTCTGTTGTTGTAAAAACCTGCTTAGTCACAAACAGTTTTTGCCCTCGTTTTTCTTATAATTTGATATCTTGCCAGATATTGATGGCAGCAGGTGACACATTCAGAGCAGCTGCTAGTGATCAACTAGAGATATGGGCTGAGAGAACTGGTTGTGAGATTGTTGTAGCTGAAAAGGAGAATGCCAAAGCATCATCAGGTAGATAAATTGAATATCTAAAGAAGTATTTTTTTAGGACCAAAAGGGAAAGGGTGGAGGGGAAGGGCACAAATTTTGCAGTTTTTCCTTTATTATTATTCTGATACTCTACAACTCTTAACTTGTGATTTTAAAGTGCTTTCTAAATAGTGCTTTCGCAGGCTGTGAAAAGAGGTAAGGAGCAAGGTTTTGATATTGTCTTGTGTGACACATCTGGACGTAAGTACTATGAACCTTCTTTGTTTAGTCTTGGTGTATTTGTATCTGCCTCTAAACTGTAATTCAGGGCATGCTTTATCATTTGTGCAGGTCTTCATACTAATTTCAGCTTGATGGAAGAGTTGATAGCCTGTAAGAAGGCTGTGGGAAAAGTTATTCCTGGTGCACCCAATGTAAGCTCAAGCTGTTTTGGACCCTTAACTTCCTTCTCGCCTTGAATTTGTTTGAATGTCTGGGCCACAAGACAGATTAGCATTTCCTCTTCGGTATAGTTGGTTCAGACATATCAAATGTTTGATACTTTATTCTACCTGCTCCTATCCCATGTTTTCATTTATATTGGCCATCCCTTTTGGTTAATGCCTTAAGGGTTATTAATTTACATGTCTCTTTAAACATTAATACCAAATGATTTTTAAATACCAGCTTTTATGATGCTAGTTCTTACTGTAGTAGGATCTTCAGAAATATGGTTAAGACCAGTGACAAAGAATGATGAATTTGAATGAATTGAATACAGTGACCTGCTTGTCTTTATAAGTTTCATGTTATTATTGTGAAGAGTTATCTTAAGGCCATTCTGCAACATGTGCAGGAGATCCTACTAGTTCTTGACGGGAACACTGGATTGAATATGCTTCCACAAGCAAGAGAGTTCAATGAGGCACTGTTCCTATCCCTGCCTTCTTCATCAAGATACTTAGATGAACTTGTTAAATGCTAATAATTTTTTTAATTGCACTCAGCTGTTATTTAAGCGAGTTTCAACTTTGTGACAGGTAGTTGGAATAACTGGTTTTATTTTGACGAAACTTGATGGTTCTGCTAGAGGTGGCTGTGTGGTATTGTCTCTTAACCCCCCCCCCTTTTTTTTTTTTTTGCTTCTGGGTTGGGGTGGGGGGTTTTGCGGGTTGTTTCCAAACTTTGTTCACATCTTTCTCTAAGTTCTTGCCCCTCACAGGTCAGCGTGGTTGATGAGCTTGGCATTCCTGTGAAGTTTGTAGGTGTTGGTGAAGGTCTCGAAGACCTTCAACCTTTTGATGCAGAGGCATTTGTTAATGCCATATTTCCGTGAGAAGTGTTGATGGTGTGTGTTAATAAAGTGATATATCCTGTTTGACCCATTTATATAATCCTTTTCAGTAACATCTTATCAATCACTATAAGCATTGCTGAATTAAACCGGTGCATTTTCTTTACCTTTCTTAGGTATTTTATTCATTGAGACCAGTTCTGCCGATATGCCAGGCTTCTAGATGCATGCTGTTGTAAAAGGCTGAGTCACAAGAGTACTTGTTGGCCAGCAAGTGGGATTTACAAACATGGTGCAGATGTGTCAAATGGCTTCACCCAGCATTATTATCATGGAAAATTTTCCTCTACATTATTGTTCTCTCATGTTTTTTGATTCGCACAGATGACAATTGGTGTAAAGGGCCATTGATCTTGTCTTGACCAGTGAACAAGTTACTAATTAAAAAGTAGTACGAATCAAAGCTCATAATTCTGAGAATGTAAGACTAATAATCAATATGTGTGCGTCAAATATTCGGATTCTATTCCATTATAATGTTTTTGCAGGTGGCTCCCATTACCCTGTAATATGCATATAGCAGCCTTCGTTATCCACATTAACTGCATTCAAGTTTAGGTTCTCTCTTCATTGATCTATAAATTAGAATATTAGACATGTTAAATAACTGATTGCTTTAGGCACATTAAGGTTCATCTTTTCTCCAAATAATATTAAATTGTCTGTCTCGATCCTGTTTGTTTGACTGTTTTGCTTTTGAAGTATAATGCTACTTAAGTGATGACTGATGAGTAGCTTTGAGATATTTTGAAGCACAAGAATGATCTCCTAGAACCCTAGGGTTCTACATTCCTATCAGTCTTCCGCTTCATCGTTTCATCAAGTAAAAAGAGGTAGCAGAAATTAAAAAGGTAACACATTTATCTTGATTATTTGGTAATAATGGCATGAGAATATTCATTTGGCAATACCCAAAAAAGAACCAGAATCTTTTTGGGATTCTATATTAAAAGGCACTAGGCATGGTTATCAACCCGAGCCACAAGTAAAATTCGGACTATCATGTACACATCATAACTTGGCAATGGGTGAATTATAGAAGGTTGCACGGCAAGTATAGACCAGTTTCCCTGTTTCCCTCAGTTTGAATTCAACTTCAACTACAGATACATTTCTTCCACTTCTCACTATGGATCCATCAACAATCAACTCTGCCTGCATGGTGACAACATAGGTGATGGTATATATTAATTAAACCGAAAAGAAACAAGAGTACGTGAGATGATTGATAGAAAGCTTGTTCTGTTTCTGATGCATAATCTTCATATGAGACGCAAGAGAAGGTCAAGCAATGCAGTTTATCAAAAGCAGCCTACATCAGCCCTAATTCTCAGGGTGAATTCCGACTATGGGTCCAATTAGACATATCCCCAATAAGTAATACACTAGACAAAAGTGAGGTTGCAACTATTTTTTTTACCCATAGATATATATATATATATATATATATATATAAAATAGAATTTATATGCCGGGCTTAATTAGCAATATGTTGAACATAATGACTCCAATTTCATCAAAGGTTGAAGGAATAAAAATAATTATTAAATAAAAAAATTATTTTGAGGGGCCATTAAAATAAATAAATAATTTTAAAATATTTGGGCATAGACAATCTACCCTCCGCCCCTGATTGGGAAGGGATTAAGCAAAGAGAGATATTAGGAATTGAAAAGGCAAAAGAGCTTACATTTTTGGGAGCAGCAGAGAGATAAGAAATGCCCAATTCACCAAGAAAAATGTCCTTTTCCACACCCACCACTGTTCTAACTGTCGCAATTGCCACCCTTTCTGCTATGGCTGCAACTACCCCTCCATGTAACCCACCAAAATAATTCTGCAAAGATAAAAAATCCTCAATAAAAAAAAAGAGAATAATTCATAATAATTCTGATAGAAATAGATTACGTTTCAGAAGAAATTACGGCGACAGCGGGTTTGACGGTGGCGAAGCAGGTGACGTGGCCACGTTGGACGGTGTCGGTCTTGAGGTGGTCACACAGTAGATCGGAGTAGAAGTCTTTTGAACTGTAATTATCTACGTTGGGATCGGAAATCCCTACGCTTTCAAAGAAAAGCAGAACGTTAGACGCGTACGGCGGAGATCCGTCTTGGGATTTTGTCGTGGAAGCAGCAGAAGAAGAAGGGAAGGTTTGCGGTCCCTGAGAAGCAGGAACCACAGAGGAGGAGGGCTTTCCCATTTCGCTGTCTTTGGTCTCGGAGTCACGCCTGTGATCTTATTACATTTTAAGGGTTTCTTAAAGTTTTTTTCTTTTTTTTTTTAAAAAATTCCAGCTACTAGATATAGATAGTATTTATTTATTGTGCTTTACTTTATTTTAAAAATAAAAAACTTCTTTTAATTCATGTGAATATTACTATGGTTTTGAAGCAGTAATTTTTAATAGGATACGTATGTTTTCTAAGCTAAACGCTTAATGTTATTTTCAAGATTTTAATCAATATTTTTATATATATCAAACACTTTAATATTAAGTTATATTAAATTCTCAATAATAGCGTTTCATTAAAATGTTCTGGTGGTAAAGTAGGAAGCCTAATCTTAGTATTTAATTTAAAACTTTAGTCATATAATTATATGCATATGCTTAGTCCATCTCTACGGATTAATACTTATATATATATATATTTTACCTATTCTTTTTCCCCAAAAAGGTAGCAGTAATTAATACTTTTATATATATATATATATATATATTTTCTTCTTATTAAAGACCATAGCTCTAAATAAAGAATTTTTGTATAAGAGCATAGGCATAACTGTAAAATTAATAGTCTATTTGATTTTAAATAATTATCTTTTTTATTTTTACGGAATTAAGATAAAAAATTAAATTTTAATATATTTTATATTAAAATTTGAAAAAAAAATAATATAAATGCTGAATGTTGTTTAATATAAAAAATAAATTTATAATATAAAAACATTTCGGACATCTGAGAAATATATATAGAAAGAAAAGGAGACGAAAAGAGTAAATTTAAAGTAATAATGGCTTGCCCCTGGCCGGATAAGAAGATACCGTCCGTTGAAGGAGACAATGGCACGGGAAACAAAAATGTCAACAAAAGAATAACGAATTCAATAAATATTTATCTTCGGCTTAACATCAAAGCTTTGTCCTGTATCTGCTCATTGTATGATGTTGTTGAATGGAAAGTAGCAGCAGCACCCAAATCTCTGCTTTACACAAAAGAATGAGCACCATCAACAACCTGGTTGAACCAGGAATTTAGTAAGAGAACAAATATGAAATACAGTAACAGGAAAAACAATCCATGGGGATTAAGACCCAGGCAAGAACAATTAACATTTGCAAACTGACTTACAGGAGATTTTGTCTTTCTGGTTTTCAAGACATGAGCTGTTCACACAATCCATGATCGTTCTTCTGGTTGCTTGCCGCATGTTGTTCTAATGAAACCTAAATATTCATGAAAATAAGAGACATGGTATTGCGTGGAGTAGAACAGTAGGAACTGACCTTTATAGCCTGATCAGAGAAGAACCCAATGAGCCATCTCAGGTAGAATTGGTGCTAGAAGGATGATCTGCAGTAGATGATGCTCTAGGTATGCTACTGGATGAATCCTGCACATATTCCAGGCGTTTTTCTACAGATTTTGTGACAGCTGTAGTTTCAAGTTTCGGAGACTTTGGAGGGGATAGGAAAAGCTGCTTTGCATTGGAACCTACTCCATCACTTTCATTGTGATTGCTAGTTTGTCTTGTAGATTGAGAGCTTCTTTTTCTTATGATAGACGGTGTATTTTTAAAACTCTTAGCTGCGCGTCTCAATATTGTTTCTGGACAGCTGCGGCTGACAGGTGGAGTATTAAAGAAAACTGGACTAGATACCATTCGAACATCACTATCTGTTTGGGGAAATAATCTACCAGTTGTCAAAAAAGTATTCAAATCCTTGATTTGAAGCGATTCATAGCTTAAGCAACCAAGCCTCAACTCCACATTTTCAGTGTTTCTGTCCTGTGGTCTAACAGAAGTATACAATCTCTCAACAAAGCCTGGAACAGCAGCTTTCCTATCACAATCAGCAGCAATGGTAGCATCTAATGGAGTACTCAACGGGAGAGGTGAAGGTGGAAAGCCATGCTCAGTTGTTCTTTCATGTAAAAATGGGAATTTCACAAGATCACCGAAAGAGGCATGACGAAATCTATCAGACCAGTTAGCCGCAAGGTTATAATTGTGTCCAGGTGCTTGAGCATCACAAGCATGCATTTGGTGCTGTTTGATAGCCAGATCACTTCCGTCATCATATCTCTTAGCAAACATGGTTAGAGAGGATGGTTTCATTGTACCATTTGCATCTTTTCTCACCACTCTGCAAGTTCCTCTATTTGAAATTGCTAGGTTGCTTTCCTTGCCGTCGGTATCTCCAAGAACCAATTGCGGTGAATAAGGGTTTGTGCTTCTTCCCTGATTAACGTTTTGTTCAAGAGGTTTGCCTAGCCCGAAGGACATGCACTCCACTTTTCTATCATGATTGCCTCGATTAATACCAGAAGCTGCAAGTAACTCTACTTTCTTCTTCACTGAACAGTTCCAGTGATTCTTTATTGAATTTTCAGTCCTGCACAACAAAATAGAAGAAACAACCAACTAATTTGAATGAACTTATTCAAAGGAAAGAAAATGGCTCTTGTTTGATTTCTTTTTCAGATACTCATGCACTTTTCAGGACATACCTGCCTGGAAGAAGCTTTGCTATCTCAGCCCACCTGTTCCCATATGTTCCATGTGCCCTAATAAGAACCAACTCCTCCTCTTCCGTCCAAGCAGTTTTCTTTATATCTGGATTTAAGTGATTGAACCACCTGAATAGACACTCAGATTTTACATGCTTTTTGACAAGAAACAATGTACAAATGACAAACTATATGAATTAGGAATGTTTCAAGCAATCTGTTAGTGTTCTGGACAAGTGATCAGGCACCTTTCTCTACATTGCTTGCCTATGCGGCCTGGCAAGTACTTAGCTATTTCTGACCATTTCTTCTTCCCTTGCTTCTCCACAAGCTCAAAGATAAGTTCATCTTCCTGAAACACAGAGTGAAGAATGAAGCACTGTTATATATAATATAGTGGCAGGCTTGAGGCTTCTACGGAATAAAAATAAAAAAAGAATCAACATGATTTGATTAGCACCTCCTTGCTCCAAGGTCCTTTAACAAGGTCAGGATTAAGAACCTTCTGCCAGCGATGTAGGCACTGAACATCTGTTCTATCAGGAACACACTCGGCTGCAAAAGATTTAAGCAAATGATGTCAAGAGATGATGTTCAACATGGTGCAAGGAGAGATAATAACCAGGATGCCCATCATTCCAATTCCTTCCTTCAATGAAAGTTTAGTATTCAAACACGAGAAGCATTAACAGTAAGCAAGAGATAAAGTGTTTCAAACACACATGCATACCTATCTTTTTCCAATTTTTGCCATTGAACTTTTGGACAGCAGTGGTCAACATTTTGTCCTGTTAAAAAAGAGGAAAGAACAAAAACAACATTTCGTTTCAAGCAATGGTTGCAATTAAATCATAATGAGAAAGGACCATATCATTTTTTCCTTTCAAGCACCTGACAGCACTACAGAACAGCAGAGTAAGTTACACCTAACATACTAAAATCAGGGCCGATTCTCATTTTCATCCATCAGATTTCAGGAGTTGCAATCAAAGAACTGAGATTCCATCTTTTTGCTTTATAGGATGCCATCTGGTATAATTTACCAAAAGGATGTTATCACAAAAAATAGTTATAGCTTCCAAACACTGACCTCCTCCTGTGTCCAACCTCCCTTAGTTGATCGTCTAGTAGGACCTGAAATCCTCCTGAAAAGACAGTAAAGACTAACATCAGGACATATTTGGTGATCTACAAACAAATTTTCTGATTCATAATTGATCTAAAAACATTTAAAAGAGAAAGTATAAAAGGGAAAAGAAACAAACAAACAAACCCATGAACAGGGACTGTCTTTCGAACGACGTTGTCATTAACATCATCAATGGCTGTGGTAGTATTATCACCATCCTCCTTGACTTCTTCCATGCTTAAAGCTTAAACCAACAACAAGGCACAAACCCAAGTCACATCCTTCATTTAAAAAAACAGTAATAATAAAAAAAAGCCCAAACCCTCAACTAAAAGTCAGGTTTTTAAGTCCAATGACAACATAACTGTCAAGAACAAAACATAAATAGTAAACAAAGATCCAACCAAAAGATAAATGGAAACATAAAAAGTGGTTTTCTGTTTCATTCCTAAGAACAATCCCACACACTTTGTTTTTGGTTTAGTCTCCCCCTCTCTAAAAGCTTTCCCTGCTCTAGGAATAACAGTGTAACGGCTAAAACTCAATATAGAAGCTGAAGGAAGGCAGAAATATGAAATCTTTGAAACGAAAAAGAAAAGCAAAGGAAGGAAAGGAAGAGAGTTGTGAGTACCAACTGAGTAGATAACTATAAGAACAGAAGGGTAAGAGGCAGAGACGTGAAAGATTAGGCCTTTCTTGGGCAGAGGGAATGGGAAGGGAAGTTTAGCGGGAAAAGGGAGAGAGATGGGAAGAGATATATATACGTTTTGTAGTACGAGGTTTGTTTGTTTGGTTTTGTTCGGGCAGATACAAGTAGATGCGGGTATTTAGCATCCAACCCCTAATGAAAGATTCTGTAATTAAGCATTCCATTGTTTATAGGATCAATTAATGGCATGAAATCTTATGCTCTTCATAACTAAAATTAAATATATAGAAACATGAATGCCAGACCTTAGCAATGGACCGTATAGTTATTGTATGTAATTATTATTTTTATAAATGTAGCAGTCTATATGATCTTTGTATAAATTAGAAGATAAAAACTGTATTTCCTATTGTTTAATCTGAATAATCTGCATTCAAAGATGATTCATTTTTTTTAATTGGGTGAAATATCTTTTTTGTTTCAATCAATATATTGTGGATAACTTCTATTCTCATGAGAGATTAACTATTAAATTTGTTTAATAAAATTATCAAAATATCTTTAATTCAAAAGTTAATCTATCATTTACTTTTAAAAATATTTTTGTCATTTCATTGGACAAAATTAACAATTAAAGTTTTTTGTGAGAACAAAAATTATCTACAATATACTTTGAAAAAAAAAATTTATAATGTTAATTATAAAAAAGAACCCATAAAATATGATACCCAAAATATTAAAATTACAAGATATGTAAATGGAATTAACCTTTTTAATTATCTCATTCTCCTGTTTAGGAGACTAGTTCAACTATTATGGCCCAGCTTTGGCTATGATGGGCTCCAAACAATAATGTCACAGGCTGGCAGCCCATCCAAAAAGGCCCAACAGACAGTAGTTAAGCACAAAGAAGGGGGAAGAAGGGGAGGAAGACAATATATAGAGCAACTGAGCCTAGGAATCAGAAAGCCTCCAACAGGAAAGGTAAATTTAACAGTTAAAAGCAGTATCACAAGCCAAGTCTGTGATGGATCCAAACACACAAAGTAAACCAACAAGTCCTGAGTTCAGGAAACAAAGTCTATGGCAATACAAAACTTGTATACCATTTTATTGTTACTAATAATATAGCAGGAGGCTAATACTTCTTTTCCGCAGCTTTCACTTCTTCTGTTTCTTGCCCTTTCCCCTCTCAGAACTGCATGCCTCATTCGAAGACCGGTTCTCTGGCTTCATTTTCCCTGATGCAGACTGTTTGTCGGAATGTGATGGACTCACCACCTCCATCAGCTCTAGCGAAGCAATGCTAGGCAATTTGAATGTAGAATCTTCTGAATCCGAGCTTTTCTCAACTGCACCTGTCAAACAGAACATAATATCAATTCCTTGGCCTCCGGCCTCTTATCACACACCGAAAAACCAAATCAAAATCATTGGCCATGAAAACAGTAGAGTATAATCATTTTGAACACAATTTTCTGAAAAAATTTGTAGAAGCAACCAACAGTTGATTATGTTATCATTTAAATGCACTTCAAGGTTGATTGAAATGCACTTTGAGTAATGCATGTAAAGGCTATTTTTGAAGTTAATGCAGTATCAATGATCCAGTTATAAACATAATAGCACTGGCAAAGAGAGCCTTGATCAAAAAGGAAGAGAGAAGCCGAGGGAAGGGACTATGGTGAAGGGCAGATTAGATTAAAAAGATCGAAGAAGAATCAATTTAGAGCTTACTCTGATCTACATCAGGCACGCTAGCTTTTTTCTTTGGTTTGCGAGGATTAATGGGACGAAAATTCTGCAACAGAGGATTAGTGTAAAAGAAAATAAATTGAAATAAAAATAAAGCTCAATTACTATTGCAAAAAAGGAACAAATTTAGTCATTTACACCAATTGGCATATATAAAAACATTAATTATAGAGAGTGAGAGCCATTAATTATCATGTGGATTTTAGAAGATACAAAAGGAAATTAGGAAAACATTGGGTGAGAATTATGGACTAATGAAGTTAGAGGAAGAAAAGAACAAAAATCTTAAATCAAATCTAAAGCGAGAACATGAGAATAATGGCATATCTTAAATCAGAACAGAAGCAAACCCAGCAATCAAGGCCTGAATGATAGTTTAACCACTAATGATTATTGTCTTATAATATGTTGCATCCACTTTAGTTGGGGCTCTAACATTCATTCTTAACCCTCATGCATATGGTTATCATGGATAAATAAAATTATTAATAATGCCATATTAAAGCAATATATGTTAAAACTCACAGGTGAGTAGATGGAAAGCTTAGCAGCCTTTGCATAGTTCACATATCGCATGAGATCTTCATAGGTGTAGAACTTTTGGCCAGTCTCTGGACATGAGTAGTACTGCAATAGCCAAACATTTAAACCACCAATCAATAAAATTCTCCTTTCTACCGTCTAACTTTCATCTAGATTCAATTTTGTCACAATCAATCTTGCATTCCTACAGCTTTTCTGAATGGCATGTGCCTTTAAGCTAAGAAAAGGAGAACAGTGACAGAGAAAGGCATTTCATGACAAGCAAGTCCAATAATCTTGAAGGGCACATAGTTGTTCTTGTTAATTAGCTAATACTCTCCAAAAAATAAGAAAAAAACTTTGGTTATTGCAGATTTGATGAAGAACACAATAAACAATATATATAGACAGAGAAAGAAGGATCACCATTGCAAATGTAAATCTACAAACATAAGGACCATACATAGAAGTTTGCGCACAGCATTCATTGGTAAAGGTTCTGCTGTCATATAAAAGCATTACTGGAATTAGGTTTCTTTTGAGGGGCCTTCTTGTCAAGGTCTACCTTCATATATTGCAAGCCTCTAATACAGCAATAGTTGGTTCCACCAACACTCTTACTTTGGAACCTCTTTATGGTCATCTATTTAAGGGATGGTGAGAAATGCCATAAAAATGGAAGAAGTAATGTTCATACAATTATTTAGCATGCAGTGGTAGTCCGCAGCAAGTAATCCTGCATGCACTGTCCAGCAAATCTAAGACAGATCACACAGGCAAGCAACAGCTGCCAAAGGGGCAAACACAGTCCAGCTATATCGTTAAAATCATCTTCTGGATCTACATTTAAAAAAGGACTTTGATCTTCAAATTATCAAGTGCATGTACATAAAAGGAGTTAAAACTTTATAAACCACCATATCATATTCTCCCAGTTTTGTCAAAACAGAAAAGCAAGGTTCATACCTAGTAAGCACACAAGAAAATCAGCATTCTTGACATTTCATATGAAGATGGGACACGCATGCCTCGACAAAAGCATATAAGTTCACAGATTAGGTATTAAAGTCTAGACTACCAAAGTCAGATTGACTGAATCAATCCATCACCAAAACCAAAAATCTATTAAGCATTCAACAAATTAATGTAGGCAGAGAACTTGATTAAAGTGCTTGATAAATATCAAATCTCTAGTGCTAAAATCGTATAGATCATAAAGAGATAAATAAATAATATTAAATGCCAAATTACCGAGCGCCTAGATCCATTCTTCCGCTCTTTAACAACCAACATCCAGCGATCAGGAATTGGCCTCGATGAATTCTCGTCTGCCATAGGAAAAATGATGATTTCTCAACAGTGCTTAGAGATTTCCCCTAATTTTTCTCTGAGACAAACACTTCAGACCTAGGTTTTCGATACGAATGAGGTATTTAAAAGGGCAATTCTCAGGAAGGGTAAAAAACTTCGAAAGCCACGTATTTCCATTCCCTCCACGTGTTTTATGATTGGAAATCTGAAACGTACCTGAAATGAAAAGAATAACTCTTGTTATGTTTCTTTCGCTGTTGTTTCCATATAATGCTCTATTTTGCATTTTTGTATACGAGATACTGATAAGAACAAACAAATAAAAGAAAAACAGATTACTTACCATGTTTGCTAAGATGATAGAAGGTTTCGAGGTGATATTGCAGTACTGCCACAACCCAATGGACCACTGAAACAACTGCCATCCCAGTTTTCCAAGGCAAAATTTAGTAGCCTTGCTACAAGTCTGGCAGAAATGGATGACCCCATTTACAACTTTTTATAAATTAGAAATTATCCAGCCAGGCAAAGAAGGATTATAACCTACAAACAATTCAACAATAGATTATAAGAAATCAAAACACACAAGGCTCACTTGATCACAGCATACTGCTGATGCAAAAGTCCAGTAGGAGGCTTGTCACATTTGAAAGAGAAATCAAAGGTCAAAGAACAATTGTTTTTGACTCCAGACTTTCCGGGGGCTCTTGCTAGGATAGATCAGTCATTCCTCTGTTTGAGTCCTTCTTCATGCCTTTGAACTCTACTCTTTCTGATAATTTTCTGCTTTTGGCACTACTGATAAAAAAAAAAAAAGAGAGAGAGAGCACTGCCTTAATTTTCTGCATGATCATGTTATGATCTACAAAGAATAAACAGTTAAATCTAAACACTCACAAATTGATGCCATTTTGATCTCCTTCACTTTCATCAAGAATAGCATATTAAGCTGAAGCAAAGACAAGGTCATAACAACCTACCAGCTAGTGATCAAGAGTAAAAATGTACCAACATCAAGAATTCTCATCACAATCACCTAGTAGAGTACAGTCTACAACTAAAATCACCCAAACCGAGGAAACTAGTTTCATATTCACCATCAGGAATGCAAAAATGATCAGTCAAGAGGATAAAAAGTATAATCATTTGCTTGAACTAATACACAGATGCATAAACACATCCGGCCATGCCTAATTTAAAGTGAAGTTGATCATCACAACTAATTCAGCCGATTTTTGCATCTTCAAAGGCTGATGAGAAAGTTGGCTGGAATTTGTTTTATTTTTTCATATTTAGGTTCACCATTGTTCCTACTTAATCCTAAAAAAGGAAACATAGATTTCAAATTCCCAAGGAATTCTTTCATTATTAACACCTCTCGCTTCAACAGTACATAGTAAGCCTTCAATTCCATAAATCAATTCAAAAAAGCGCATCACACATGAAATTAAGAACGAACATAAACAAACAAGCCAATAATCAATCGAAAGATCTAAGATAGTCAAATTACGAATGTGAAATTGTGGAAAATAATTAATAAAACTAATTAATAACAAATTTATGTTCAATCACGTGTAAAATTTTCAAGGAATTAGATATAAATTCCAAAGCAATAGACTAAAATAAGCGAAAGAGAAAGTGAGAAACCGGGTTTCCTTTTCCGTTTCATTTCCACCGTTTTCCCTCGGCAAACCGAGCAGAAGCTGACGAGCATACAGCAAAAATAAAGCACTTCAAAGGAAGAAAAAGGCACCGGGCGGTGCTTAGTAATACGTTGTCGTTGTTAAACCCGTGAATACTTCTTTTTCGTTTTCTTTTTTTTTTTCCTTTTATAGAAAAGAAGAAACGTTGTTATTTTTTTGGTTTTTTATATTTTTTAAATTGAACTTCAACCTAAACAAGATTAGCACATAATTATGATTGCTTTCGCAATTATCAATATCTTACAATACGCGATATAGATATTAGAGTTTTCGATTCCAACTTCTACACGTTTTTACCTACTTTTATGCATTGCTTAATGTTTATGTTGTAGGGGAGACTTTCAATTGTGAGACTGAACTAGAAAGGGTGACATTTCTCAAGAACATATCTATTAATGAGTAATCACCCAATGTTTATGCTGACTTGTAAAAGCTATGCCCGAAAACAACAATGTATCTTCTGTCTTGTTCCAACCACATAAATAGACCATTCCATGTCTGAAAAGTTTAAAAGGAAATACCAAAGAAAGGGCACCAGTAAACACAGATGTTCAAAAGTTCAGCATTGCAGACAAGACAAACAACCCATTCAATAGAAAACAGGTCCATGACAAGTGCGACGGTTGTGTCCACGTCGACCACAACGACTGCATCTGTATATGCCTTTCGGAGGTTGCCAAACCACTGGCTTCACCCAACCAGGACCCCCATTTTCATCTTGAACCTGAAAATTCATAATGACAAAGGTTAAGCAAACTAGAAGCAGATAATAAGCATAATGTAGAGGAAATTGTGCGGAACTACAGAATATGAAACTTGCCTCAACATAAATGATTGGATAAGGGCAATGCTGATAATTGTGCCCTATCTCCTTGCAGCGTAAACAGCACTGTTTCAACTCTTCTTTGCTTAAAGTACTCTTCCACCGTTGCTGCCTCCACTCCGTCCAGACATCAGGACGCTCAGGACTCACTGGAGGAACTGGAGGAGCTGGAGGAGCTGGAGGAGCTGGAGCATTGTCCTGAAGATTCAAAATAAAAAATGCTAAGTTAATATACAGAGAAAGAGAAATAGTTGCAAGAAAACATTGGTCAACTGAGCTGTCAAAGGAAAGTGTCCAGGAGCATCATTATTTTAAGGGTTTCCTTTCAAAAAGTTGTAAGAAAATCGATGAGGAATGGTCGGAGATGTGGTGTGTACACCTCTTACATCTCACTCTTTCACCCATGCAAGCTGGTAGGAAGTTAGAAGAAAATAATAAGAGGGGGAGGGACCAATAATATTTAATGTAAATTTCTAATGCCAGGAATATGAATAGCATTCTTCATAAAGAATATTTAATGGAACACAACATGTTTCAAAACAAAGTTCTCTAATTCATCTTGCAATGATTGTAATGAGATTCACCTATGTAATATTCAGAGAAATTTGACATATAATCTGCAAGGAACAACCGAAGATGATGCATTCAAACCATATCATGTGTGTCATGCAAGTATATCAATTAAGAAATATTAAAGATCAGATTTGGAACCAAAGTAGGCAAACATTAGTGCAGACTGAGACAAACCAGTAATGCCAGATTCTCATATGGTACCATAAAACAACTTTGAAGCTATTTCTCTGCTTGCCAATGTAAGTGTGCATCATGTGTTTGTCATCACTAAAGGACCTAATACATATACATTATTAGGGAAGAGCACAAGAAGCAAAACTCTGTCCTCTGCATTGGCCAAAATAACAAGATAGATTTGCACTACAATATCCAGAAGTTTAAATATGTTAAGTTACAGTCTGTTAAAATTACCTTATAATACGATCAGCACGTGAGGCTACCTAAATTATGCAATTGTCAGTATAATCTCTCTGACCATATCGAACAAATTAAGGTGATTGCCTATATTAATGGGTCATTACTACCATACGCATCCAACAATTACCTTCAGGAAACACTATCACCAGAGCAATTCCAGCACGTGCCAATTGCCAACATAAACATGACTTAATCATAACATAGAAGGTAAAATTGAGAGCTGTCTCCCACGTGTCCATATTAATTTGTCTAAAACCGACAGATCTTAAACAATGTTGATATTCGAGCTACAGGACACGTGCTAGCGTTTGAACAAACACTTGATAATAAATCATATAATGATAATCAACATGCAATCTAAGATGTTCCAAATTTGTTTGTCTAAAACTGACAGATCTTCATAGATATTAATATTCGAGCAACATGATGTGCTAGTATTTGAACAATACAGTTGACAACGGATGATATTCAGCTAGTCAGTATGCAATCCTACATAGAAAAGAAGATCCTCAAGTCATGGCCTACCTACTGTTTTATTGAATTAAGAGCAAAACAGAGAACAAATTCGTGCATGTCATATCATCCAATTCAAAACATATCCTAGGATGGACAGCCTTCAATTTTGTTTGGTTTCAAAAGAGTCTATAGTCTCCAAATCGAGCAAGCAACACTAGTAAATTTCAATGATCTCATAAATACAAATACCAGATTGTTTATTTTCCTTATCCAAGTACCAGATTTTTCGATTATGATCTAAAACATTAAGCAACAGAATTCAGATAAACCACCACGAGTGTTGATAAGGGGCTACATTAGAACCTGTCACAATCAGTGCAATTATGTTGATAGCCTTGAAGCTCATATATCATGATCATGTTTGCATATATGATAAATCAGTAAACTAAAACAATAACATAATGAAAACCATTAGTAAATGAACCGATTAGGCAAATCCGTCAAAACCCTTTTCAGATTATCAACTAATATAAGATTGTATACCTCAATTTTAACATCAATTTCAGTTTTTGGGATGCGAAGAACATAGCTTTCCTGCAGTGATTGTTGAAGCTTCGTAGCACCAGCCATTGTCACCAAAGTTTTAACTTCGTCTATAGAAATTGAGGTCTCTAGTGCTAAATTGGACAAGGAAGGGAGGTATTAATATGGAAGTGCTGGAGGAAGAAAAGATTCCCGATAGCACACGTGTTGGCATTGTTCGTAGAGTAACAAAAACGTGGAGGACCGTCATTAAAAAGGTAAGCAATTGATTCCTCCTAAGTACAGCTTTGAATTTTCTGGGTTTGGTTCATGAATTTTCATGACAACTGAGACAAATAAAGTAAAAGCTGATGAGTTGTATTTGGAATGAGAGAGAAAGAGAGTGTAAGAAACCTGATAAGCTTTGAGGCCATGGAAGGCAATATTTGGCAAATGGAAACTCAGAAACCAGCCGTTACAGGATTTCAAAAAGGTTCGGTCTCTCTGTCATCGCTGTGCGGGTGAAGAAAACGACGCCGTGGCAGTGACGTTCGTATTGACCGCAGGCCCTGGATGGCAAACAAATAAATATAGGAGAAATGCTTACTTCTATTTAAAACAAGAGTAATCAATGTTTTTCCATTAGTATTTTGTGGATAATTACTATTCGTGTAAATTTTAAATTATTAATTTTATTCAATAAAATTACAAAAATATTCTTACATGTGATTAAATAAACTAAGTTTAAATTAGAAATATTTCAATAATTTTATTGAAAAAAAAATCAATAACCTAATTCTTCGTGAAATTGGCCATATGATATGAGCTAAAAACTTAAAGCCAATTATCAAGTAAACAAGTCAATAAGACAATGCGTCCACAAAATTAAAAAAGCTAGTGAAGGAACTTTACAAGCAATTGGATGGATAGACCAAGCCAAACTCTCAAACTTTAGCCAGATTAATATCACGTGTTCAAAAGGTTTTGAACACAATGCATTACAGGTACATGAAATTTGCTTTCTCTACAATACGAAAAGGTTACCAATATGTCCCCCGCTATGAATTACAAAGAATGCTTCAATCAGTTATCTTTATGGACCCTCCTCTCCCCGTAAGACTGGCCAACCCAAGTTCCTTACGTTGCTCTTCATCCGGATACAAGGTTCCTGGAATCGCGCCAAATGTTCTTCTAGTTGTTTCAGATCCTAAAGCCACATAATGGAAATATGCTGAAGTGTCCTCTATATTCTTCCACAGGTTTAAAGACATTGATGCGAATTTCTTCGATGAATTTTTCTCCATTTTTTTTGCTGAGACCTGGTTGAGCTCAGAAACCCTTAAAAACCGCTTTGTGGCAGCCTCCCATGACAGCTCATACCTCTGTGCATCAGTCAATGGAGCAGGCTCTTCACTGAGTGCCTTGCGTGTGGCTTCAACAAAACCATTGCCATCATCATATATTCGGCAATTGGGGAACTGCTTGAAGAAGTCATTCGAGGAGTGATTGGCACAAACAACAATTTTGCCCATAGCCAATGCTTCGGCTGTGGTTGTGCAAACAACATCTGTGGTACTAGGATTCAAGAACACTTTGTAACTGAAAGGGAAAACAAGAAAAAATTAATATTCATTGATCCTGATCCCTGTATTATCACCAGACAATAATATTTAGGGGGAGAGAGAAAGGAGGTTTACTCATGGAATAAAGGATCAGCATGATCACGACCAGGATGAACTCTAACCATCAGTTTCAGCTTTTCAGCAGCTTCCTTAACTTGATCAGAGTCCTCTCCAGTTCCATATAGATCAACCTCAAGACCAGCTAGCTCCTTTTGGTGATCACGAAGAAGTTTGAGTAGTTCCTCATAGCCTTTGCTCCAAACCATCTTCCCAATGTAGTAAGCACCTTTGGTGAAGGCCTGCTCATTTCTATGTTGTTGCTCATACTTTTTCTTGCCTATATCAAGGAACTTGGGATTAACTCCATGAACATTGCAGATGATGGATCGAGGATAATCCTGGGTGGCAGCGGACAGCCTAATTACCTGCAATAACATCATGATTATAATCCGGTGACAACTAATTATAACAGTACAATACCAACACTTATAGACACAAGCAAATTCAACTTTCTCTCTCCCAGTTCTCCCTTACTTTCCCTCTACTCTCTGTTTCTCTATTGTCTTTTTCTTTCCCTCCCTTGTTTTCAATCACCTTCCTCAACAGCAAGACTGTGTTAGTAAAATCAGGGACACACATCTTTCTAGTGGGCCAACACAGCAGCATTGATTCCCATTATGGCGGAATAATACATTACCCAAAGCAAAGTAGATCGCAATTAATTTCTTAAATAATCTAGGATGTATTAATAAGTTTATTCAAATATGCAAACTTGCAAAGAAAAAATTGAGCCCTATAAATATCAATGATCTTTAAGGAAAAAGGGGGAAAAGTCACATTAACTTGATCCCGATAAGGACAAAAATTCAAGACTCACTACGAAACTTACCTTATGGCAATAGATGCTAACAACCCAACTATTTACATATTTCAGAAAAAATGCTTGGAATCGTCCATTTTTCTCTCTCTTCACATACTCCAAATAATTGGTATGTATTATTCCTACGACAAGGCGAAATTTAGTTTTCCATCTCTTCCCATGATGAAACCATGTAAGATGCTCAGGCTCCTCAAGGACAGCAATATCTGCCTCTTCATCGGTGATGATTTCTGAGATGTCTCCTACAGGAAGAATGCTTCTTTTATCTACAGCAAACTGCACACAAGTAATATTACAAATTACCATCGGATTATTACTATGCTACAGAAAATGATTAATAAAAGATAATGTGTTTACAAGCCTACCTATATTAATAAAAGCATCACTAAATTCACTACTTCAGGAAAAATTCAGGTATTCATAGGTATGATTACCTTTCCAGGATAAAAGCATATATTGAAATCAGATATAAATGCAATCCTCTCCCCAAGCCATTGACGAAGATATGTCTCTTGCTCTGAAGGTGAACTGAACGTAGTGTTGTTCGGGTATACTAGTTTTTGATCTTTCCACGATAACCAAGGAATCACCAATGTGATCTTTCTCTCTCCATCTTTAGCAAGATAAGCAGCTCGAAACAAAGGGTTAACTGCAGTTCCAGTCATCCATGGTAGACTAGCTGTGGTGAAAATTGCGATATGCTGTTTCCTATCCATTCATTCATCAGGTTCAAGTTCTAAACCAACAATTTCTGCGTAAGTTTACCACCAAATTGAAGCAGCTTATACAATCAGAGAGCCTGACCTTTCTACATCACAAACTAAAATCTACAGCTACATCAAAAAAGGAGTGTTAGCTGAAATGCAAAAGAAAATAGAAACAAGAGTCAAACAACCAAAATACTCTTGTCTTACCGAAAACAGAAATGCTAGTAATAATTTGGAATGCCTATGAATTGTGACCAACCCTCATTTCTTTTCTGATGGAATGAACAACCCTAATTTCAAATTGATTCCAGAAGATAAATTATAACTAATCATAATCCATTGATTACGTTAAGTTAGCTTTTACTTTATTGTTTATTTTGTACAGGTGAATCGATCAAGTCAGATTGGCTCCCTCTTAGGCAGCAATTACGTGAAAGCAGAGTCCTAAAACAATTAGTATAATACTTCATCTAATCATTATTAAGGTTCTTCCTCGTCATAAAATGATATTACTTAAATGCAAACAACGAAGATTTAAACAAGACAAGATACAAATTTATGATTCTTTGACGCTCTTAATCAATGACGTGAACTATCAGCTAACAAGCGTCGGGAGAGAAGAAAAAAGGGAGGGAAAAAGATAGAGAGAGAGAGAGAGAGAGAATTCCAGAATAGCTGCCCAAACACGAAACCATTAGACTCAATAAATTATTCCACATTCAAGAATCACAATCTTCGATTCATTCTTCTTTATTCTTCAATAAAACATACGAACACGAGATAATCTTCAACAAATTATATCGAAAAAAAATTTAAAAAAAAAACAGGAAAATAGATTACCCGGAGAAAGCTAGATAGAAAAGCAAAGCAAATCAAATTGATGAAAAATAAAAGCTGAGACTAGTAAACTTTTAGCTGTAATTCTTCTATCTGGTTCTTTCTTGTAAGAGTCTTGGACTTCGTCAAAATAAGAACAGAGAAGAAGGGAAGATGGGGGAAGGGAAGTCGAGGAAAGGAGCGAATATGCTTCGGGGTCCTGGGTTTTTTTTTTTTTTTTACTTTTTCTATAAGTTAAACTTGAAAAGCCGCAACGGACATTTTGGGTTATTGGGGGTTAGTTTGATTGGATGGTGTGATTCTGTTTTCCCTTGGCGGGTACTTGTCGCGTATTCACTTTATTTGGAGGGTCTAATTGTCACCGCAAGGAAATGACAAATGCATAATTTATACTAGAATATTTTGTATGAGTCATTCGATTAAATAGAAATAAAAATATTTTATGTTCAAATTTGATTAAAGTTTGAATAATAAAATTATTATTTATTATGAATTCGAGCAATAATTATAAGATACTTGTTACTTAAATTTATTATATAAATAATAAATTTTAAAATTAAATTTTAGTTTTATTTATTATTTTTATTTATAATTTGCATATAATTAATATAAAATTGATTGATCATTTTAAATTGTAATTTAAGTCTTTATGAGGTAATTATAACTTATTAAATTAATTTTTTATTATTTTAAATCTAAATTTATTATTAATAATTGGATTCAACCATTTAAATGGATATGGACAATTAAATTTTAATCAAATTCAAATTTAAATATCTTAAAATTAACAAATACTATACTCGTTATCATTTCTAATTATTATTCACATTAAATTTAAACTTTAAGTGTCTACTCAAGTGAAAGTGAGTTAGAGAATCAATGGACTAGAGACCAAGATGTAAGGCAATGCATGGATGCTAGCAAAAAATCAACTAAGATTTTATAGGAGGCTTGTTAGGCAATTCGAGTGTAAAAAGGCTTTAGATGATTTAGGAGTGAGAGTATAGCAACGATAATGTGTCAAGAGTATGAGAGAGTTTCGAAATCTTGATGAGTCTAACAAATTTTGTATGTAAATATCTTGTATAACTTTAATAATAAGTTTAATTAAAAAATAATTATAATTTAGTGTTAAAATAATTACAAAGAATCTATCTCATGATTGTTTGCTCTTTGCTAGGATCTCTTTTAGGTACAAAAGTTTTTCCATTTATTAAAACTAGTGCATCAAAATGTAACATTTTTAAATATTATTTTACTTATCCTTAATTAATATCTATAAACATCAATTAATCAATTATTAATTTAAAATAAAAAAAAGGAAAGGTAATGAATTCGCCTTACTTAAGTTATAGCTAATCATTTTACCATAGGTTTAATTTTTGCTAGATTGTCATTTTTCGAGATGGTTACAACTTGCTTGCATTTGTTTTTCTTATTAATAATTGCATATATTGATTTTAATTTTTAAATTTTATGATAATAATAATAATATGTACACATGGCATGATTTGCTTGGGTGGGCTTGAGGCGTACGTGGGGCAGGCCAAGGTTCCACTTCAGCCAGGGTCGGAAGACCACAACGGGGTTTTGAGTTTGTGGGTTCCCTGCCGATGACATCGATCACTTGGAAACCAAATCCGCTCCATCAGCCACGTATGCAAAACAACGTGCCACTGCGCACACCAAATCCCTTCCGTCATGCTGATTGAATGTTTGGTGCCGTTTCGTGGGTTGCCCGATGACGATGATCAGCAAATCACCCACTGGTAGCTCCTTCCCCTGTATTAAACTTGAAACCCCAAAAGCAAATTTCGTCTCAAAACCCTAACAATTAATCCGTTCAATTCCAACTTAATTCTTGACTCTCGACTTTGCAAAGCATTTTCCAGGGTCATCAGGTAATAACAGTGGTCTCTTTCTCTACCATTTCTCGTTTCACCCGCTTGCCGTTTCTTTTGATAGTTTCTCGTACGTATATCTGCTGTTTGGTTTCCAAGAAAATTATTGGAAAAACGAGTGCTAGCTAGTTTCAGCCAAAAAATGTAAAGAAATTGTGTTTATTAGTAACACATTTGAAATTTGCGATGGGATGAGGGGCACGTTTCTTGCTCTGTTAAGCATATTTTAAGGGAACTTTTGATTTTATTGCTTTAAATTGGTTTTGGTTTGTTTTCTCTTGGTCTGAGAGGAATATATTTGTCTCAAACTGTTCTGAAATTTTCATCTTTTAGGAAATTTGGTCAACTGATTGTAGGATTGCAATTTGTGGTACTTTTGGAACATGGGTTTAGTTTTGATTTTTTCTTTTTCCTTTTATTGGTTTTGAGCACAGAAGAGAATGTTGATGGGTCATGCAGATAGTCTATCAGAACTTCGGACGTCAAAGGATCAGCTACTTGCTGATCATGAGGAGCTGGAAGATGATTTCCAATTAGATAGTTCTGAACCGATATTGTACGCAGCTTCCTTTGAAGAACTTGCAAGAAACAATCTTCAGTATGACACCATTATATGGGTTTCCATATCGTTGTTGCTGGTTTTGGCCTGGGGTGTTGGCATCATCATGTTGCTCTACCTCCCCATTAGAAGATATGTGCTTCAGAAGGATATTTCGTCACGCAAACTGTATGTCACACCTAGTGAAATAGTTTACAAGGTATGGGTATAGCTTGTACACAGACAAGTAGGGCATGAACTTGTGCTTATTTTATGGTGGTTATCTAGGAGAAAGAAAGAAGTTTATTTTGAGTTTAACATGCTTTTTCTCCTATTTTGAAGGTCTCAAGGCCTTCTTTCATACCCTTTTGGGGCATAACAACAATTGAGAAGCATGTACACCTTTCCAAGGTGATGGATATTATAATTGAACAAGGTACTAGTTCTGGCCTTGCTAAATGTTTCTTGTTTAATTGCTTCGCTTTTTCTATGTGGATAATTTTGTATATGAGATAACATGCGTCTTACCATTTGCTCAGCAAGGGTGAAAAGAACAATAACATGTATATATGATCCCCCTTTCCACCTATTATTGCTTAAGTGCCAATATGGAGCATCTGGTTTGATTAACAAATCTTGACTGCCATTTTGTCTATGATGCATTGTATATTCAAGACTTTGGTATTCTTTGCATCATGGATCTGTAAGCTGTTGTGGTTAATGAATTGGTCTTATTTTGATTTGTTTTATTTTTTGTCTGCATTTGGGTGTATACACTTAACTGTAGAGATGGTTCCTTTCAAAAGAATAATACACGTGCTGTGATTTTAACAGGCTGGTTGCAATCAGTTTATGGCATCTATACCTTTAGAGTTGAAAGTGTAGCATATGGAAAAGCTGCACCTGTTGATGAACTACAGGTTCAAGGGGTTGCAAACCCTGCACTTCTGAGAAAAGTAATGGCATTTATTTCTTATGTTGAAATCTTCTTTTTCTTAAGATTTTTCCTTGTAATGTTTGGAAAATGATGAAATTCATTCTCATAAACAATTACAATGACCCGTGGTTAATTGATTGCTTATATGCTGTTTTATATGAGGTATCCTTATGGAGAATGAAAAACATAAATGAATTTCAGGTCATCGTAAGAGAAGCTGCAAAGGTTATACAGGATGTTGGTAAAAGTTGGAAACTGTCTACTGTCACTGGTGAAGTGGAAACTGTATCTCGAATGACATCATTGACAGAAGGGCAACCTATCCTAAGATCACCGGCCAAAACTAAGAAGGTAATCTAACCCCTTGAACCCTCAAAATTTTGCACCTAATCACCACCATATCTCTGGTAAGCATGAGAAATATCAATGTGTGCTTGGACAGGCCTACCATGTGTCTTCCTATTTAAGTCAATTGGATTTAGGATACAGCACATTCCAATTTAGTTAGTTACAGTTGGTGCGAAGTTGAACCTGTAACTGTGCCTTTGAGTTGTGTAAGGTCATGTCAGAGTAGATTGATATCAGATTCTTTTCTGGTAGGGGAAAGGAGGCCATTCTAGAGTGGTTCATTTTGGGAATATTGTGGATTTTCGTTGTATTTAAGTATGACTACAAAAGAAAGTATGTTCACATGTTGATTGCTATGGTAGAAAAAATATTGGAATTTTTCACCGTCTGAACATATGGTTTAAACAAGGCCTTCCAAGAACAAATGCAAAGATGCTTGTAAAATATGGTTTCTTGCATGAAAAACAAATTGCTAACTCTTTAACACCTTTCTGCGTGCTATTTTTATTAATATTTTTTTTCTCTTTCTTTGCCAGATTTATGCTTTACTAATTACTGTTGCACATGTTATTCAGATGGCAGCTTCACCACATCATTCTTCTGTGGAGCGCAGAGCAGTGATGCCTGGAGAGTTGTTTCTGCAAAAACTTGATGAAGTCAATAAATCAGTAAAGGTTTGGACCATCTCATTTCTCTTTATTGCATTCATAAAAGAGTTGGTAGGCATGCTTGGTTCAGAGAATAAATAAAATAGTTCACCCAGAACTGAATTGTTGTTGTCCCTGAGGCCAGAGGTTTATTAATGGCTATGAACATTTCATCCATGCTAAGTACTGTAGAACTTAATGCTCCATACTTGCAGAGTTTTGATGACTTATTGGTTTATTGTTTTTGGTTTTTCTCTTTTTGATGCTTTTTCTTTCATGAACACTGCTATTAATGCTTCATTGTCGGCTACTCCAGAAAATTGAGTTGCTCATTGAGAAGTCCCAGGCTTCCTCAGAAAGTAGCTGAGATGCCATGGTGCTGTCGTGGTAGCAGAAGCCAGAAAGTTTCCATTTGTATGAAATGCAGAGTTAAACTTCATATCCTCAAACTTCAGGGATTTTTTCTTTTTCCAAGTTTTGTAAATAGTAGCAATATATTCTTGTTCACTGATTCGATTGTTATTCAACAGAGTCCCAAATTGTTGTTTGCATTGATTTCTGCATGTCATATTCTAAACGTGATTATTCCTTCCGATTGATTTTTCCTATAATCAAATGAAAGAAAAAAAAAAAGGCTCAATCCTCAAACCTCTCAAGTCTCATGAAGCTCTAAGTGACTAACCTTTTGAATATGCAAAGAACAAGAAGAAAGAGAAGTGAATCGAAATCTTTTTGGTACTAAAAGAAAAGGAAAAAGGAACACAAATACTGAATCAAAATGGAAAGTTTGTAGAGGGGAGACAAACGAGATTCATCAGAGACAAGTAATCACGAAACGAATCGATTCATTTTGTTGCAGTTTTTTCCTCATCATTTGATCATTCTCCGATTTGTCTCCCATCAGATTCATGAAGTGATGTGAAAAAGAAGAGAAAAAACGAAGGATACCTATCGCTGGTTCTAGAAACGGGATTAGAGCAAACGAGAATCTAAACGAAGAGACGACAGGGTTGGCAACTGGTTCTTCAGTTGGTATATATGGAGCAACAGGTGGGAAAACAAACCCTAATTTGATTTGGTATATAGCAATAACTTTGGGAAAAAAAATTCGTCTTTTTCATTTATTTATTCGGAGAATTAAAAATTTAATAGGAAATGCGTTGTTGTCGTTTTTGGTTTTTTCCGAGACTGATATTTATGCCGCCTGATCACAAATTTGAACTCACGTGCACTCCAGTAGCTATCCGACGACAGTGATGAAAACTTAAGAAGCTTCCTTTCCTTCCTTTATTTATTCTATCTCCAACTATCCAACCAACGGTACCAAACCCTGACGAACCTTCTTACCAAAATCCCGAAACCCCAGCAAAAATCTGAAAGGGAGAAATGAGCAAGAAGAAAGTGTTGGTGGTGGGAGCCACAGGCTACTTGGGGCAACATGTCTTGCAAGGATTTGCAGAGATCCGAGGAACCCCTTATGATGTGGCATTCACTTACAACTCCTTTCCTCCCCAGCCATTGCTCGATGCTTTTCCCGACTCTCTTGCTTTTCAGGTCGATTTGAAGACCGGACTCGGTTTCCATTCCATTTCACGACAATTCGGCCAGGTTCCCTCCTTTTCAATCCTTTCTTTGCCTTATTTCATTTAACTAAACAGAAAACTGAAAGATTTTAGGCTTGTGATGTGGGAAATGGCAGCCTGATGTGGTGGTGAACTGCGCTGCTCTCTCGGTGCCACGCGCTTGCGAGAAAGACCCTGACACCGCTACATCTATCAATGTGCCTACTTCTCTTGTGAACTGGTTGTCAAGCTTTACCCAAGATGACAATACTCTTCTTATTCATCTTTCGACGGATCAGGGTAAGTGAACTATTGATTTTTGTGAATTCTAATTGTTTGGGATAAGGTCTGAATTTGAAATGCATTTCTTTTTTTGGTTGCTTGGTTTTATGCTTTAGTGTATGAAGGGGTGAAATCGTTTTACAAGGAAGAAGATGAAGCTGTTCCTGTTAATGTTTATGGTAAATCAAAATTTGCAGCTGAGCGGTTCATCTCTGAGAAATGGGCAAATTTTGCTATTTTGAGAAGTAGTATTATATTTGGGCCGCAAACTGTCTCACCTGTTCCAAAATCTCTTCCCATTCAGGTGTGGAAGCTGAATTCCCTATTATTATTCATTTCTTTTCCACCTTTTTGGCTAAGATTATGATTTTTCTTATTGGCCTTTTAATGTTCATCCAATTTTCATTATGTGCTGCAAACAAAAAATGTCTGTAGAAAATAGCAGGGCAGCTTAGCATTCCATATTCCATCCAAGTAAAGGGGTTAAGTAGACACCATGTGGAATGAAAAACATTAACGTTGATTACATAGCAATGGAGTCGAATTTGCTTCTTGTATAAAGAGAATTCTCATACATAGTTAAGTACACAAAATGTGCTAGTTGTGTATTTTATTAGTTGGCATTCATGATTGTTTCATTATTAACTAATGATTTATAACTTGTTGCAGTGGATTGATGGTGTCCTTTCCAAAGGAGATAAAGTGCAGTTTTTTTATGATGAGTACCGCTGCCCAGTGTATGTCAAGGATGTTGTGACTATCATCCTGACTTTGATTGACAAATGGTTCTCAGGTATGAAGCAACTATCTGTGCTTATATGGATAATATTTGTAATAGATTGTGAGAGGCTCCTTCTGTCTCTGCTGTTTTGAAGTTTTAGTTTGATGGAAGATTGTAATATGATAGCATTTCATGCTTTTGATATGGGATTGACCTCTTGTAAAGGTATTATCTTCTACCCTATAGCACATGACAGATAGTTCACTTGGGAAAGAATGAAAAAGTGGGCTAGTCAGCAATCTTTTGTCTTCATTCTCTCAACTTTCTTCTTTATTATTGCTTTGCTTTCGTATTTTCTCATTTTCAATGGTTTGGTCCCTCTTCTAAGTCTTTGTGGTGCTTTTACTTGTCAAAAGAAATTTTCATCTGTATTTCTTATCCTAACTGACTTATGGTTATGGTCTTATGTTGCTTACCCAAGAGGGTAAGAAAATGCAGTTGCTACTAAATGTTGGTGGACCAGACAGGGTATCCCGTGTTCAAATGGCTGAGGCTGTTGCACAAATTAGAGGACATGATTCCTCATTAATTAAACCAGTATCTGCATCATCTGTAAGTTTACCTTTTAAAACTCATGAAAAAAAATAATCTTATTACTGTGCTCTGAACTTAGCAGCATGCTATCGTTTAATTTATGGCCTAGCGATTCATCCTTTCTTCATGGCTATCTGATTCTGGAGAGGTTTTCTATTGATCTTTACTCAGTAGCATAGACCAACATGGTTCCAAGATTCTCAGCATGCTCTTTATTTGAAACGAGAATTTTTATTAAAAATATATATGCTTTCCATGATACAGAAACCCTTTTCAGTTCCCCCAGTCCTGCTCTCTCTCATTTTCTCTTGTTTCATTCCTTTTTAATATTGATTGTTTTTCTGTACCTGGCTGTTGTAACTGAGATGTTGGTTTCTCAGATTGACCGCGGTGTTATGTCCCCTGCTGATATATCTATGGATATTACCAAACTGGTTCAGACACTGAATATTTCTCCTACTCCATTTAAAGATGGTGTGAAATTGACATTTGCAGTTGAAGCATGTTCGTGATGTTGGTACAATCAATTGATGCTGTCCATTTTTGTATAATGCAACTTGGGCGTCTATATAGGGATATGAGTTTTGTATTTATGCTGGTTTTTGTTATCGAAGAACGTCCATATAGCTTGCGAGAGGAACGAGTATCCCCTACGATCAAGATCCAAGAAGAAAAAAATACAATCGTCTAACCTATTTGTGCCGCTTTTACTGAAAACGAGTTCAAACTTGTATCCAAAGTGTCATTACATGTAAAATAAGGTGGCTGTAGCACCTCATTCATCCTCTGCCTCTCTCTGTTCCAAGGCTAAAGAGCACTTCATTAGTCCAGATTCCTTCAAAGTTGCAATAAGGCCGAAGAGCTGTTATTCTGAATCCCCTAATGATAGTCAACTTAGGGCTACTGAGCTTCTTTTAGCAATTTTTTTCTCATTAGGGCAAGCTACATTCCTTTATTGAGAAAATGAAAGAAGAATTGTAGATACAGGTGAATGGTTGGTAAATGGTACAATTCAAGGAAAACACTCACATTTCTTGGAGTAACAAAGTTTACTTTTATTTAACAGTAACGGGTTCATAATTTATGCACTTTCCATGTATAATATTTATGTCATCAATTTAATCATAAAGTGTAGTTTCATAAATGTGTAAAATAAAATTTTAAAAAATTTTAAAATAAATATTTTAAAAATTATGGGTATTTAATTTTAAAATTTTTTAATTTTTTAATTTATTTATTAATAAGATGATAATATTCTATTAATATACCAAGAGTTCATCAGATGTAAATTTTAATAGTAATGAATAAATAAAAGAGCCCAAGTAAAACTAGGCCGCTTAAGTGCTATACAAATCAGCAACAACTGGGCTCCCAGCCATGGGCTCTTATGGCAGCGAAAAGACGAAAAACTCCTCGATAAACCAGAATATAACGACCAACGAATACCAAAAGCCCTTCCTTAAGTTCACTGTCTCCGTTTGCGAACAAAAGGAGGCTCAGCTGATCGTCGATTCTGACCTGCCATTTGTCTCAGGTAAGCCAATCGCCGGACCGGACGAGCCTTTCTCCTTTTCGCTTTATATCCTTGCAACTATAGTTTGGTTTTTAAACTCCAATTGGGTTTTTCTCTTGATACATTTTTCAATTCTCATCTGATCTAATTACTTTGGTGGTCGCAGTTCGATCACATCGAGTAAATTAGGAAAAGATGGGAGGAGGAGGAGAGCATGGGCATGGAGCTGAGGATTTCAGGACGAAGGTGTGGAGCATGTCGGGAGGCCCATACTGCCGGCCGAAGCACTGGCGTCGCAACACCGCCATTGCCATGTTCGGTGTTGTCCTTATCTGCATCCCCATTGCCATGAAATCCGCCGAGCTCGAGGTTCCTAAACCCCCTCTTTTCTCACTTTATTACTGTTTTTTACTGCTAGTCTGAACGCCTATTAGCCTGATTATATGAATTGTTGAATTTAGGTTTAGCCCTTTTTTCTAATCTGAATGATTCAAGCCTATATAAATGTTCATGCTAAGATTTCTATTATGGATTTGGTTCATCGTAAAATAAATTTATTAGTTCTGGTGGATTCTTACCTTTCTAAGAAATGTAGATTGTTTGGAATTAGATGGAAGGAATGGTAACGTGAACTCTTTAAGTGTTTTAGTTTGTGCTTGTACAAAATGTTGGTTGAAGCTTGAAATTTTAGATATAAGCAGAGACTAGTAACTGTGAGAGATAGAATTGGATATGAAGGTCAAATATGATAATCTCTTTAGAACAGGCTATTTGCTTGATCATTCAGACATTTAATAGAAAGCTATAAACGGTCTAAACCATAGTTCTTTGATTATTCTTGTTTAAATTTTATTCATAAAACGAAGTTTTGGTGTTCATTAAA